TTAATAACTCTCCTCTCCTATTTTTAACTGACAAATCCATTTGTTCTCTAGGCTTTCTTAACTTGTTAATCTCACTCCAAAACTTTTTCTTATTTTCAACAAAATTTGTTGATAACATCTCACCCACTCTCTCATTTGCTCTCTTTTTACATTGCTTCACCACTCTCTTAACTTCTCTCTTTTTCTCCATATACTCTTCCCTCCTTGCATCACTTCTACTTTGTAAAAACTTCTCATATGCTAACTTTTTCTCCCTTACTACTCTCTTTACATCATCATTCCACCAATCGCTCCTCTTCCCTCCTGCACCCACTTTCCTGTAACCACAAACTTCTGCTGAACACTCTAACACTACATTTTTAAACCTACCCCATACCTCTTCGACCCATTGCCTATGCTCTCATTAGCCCATCTATCCTCCAATAGCTGTTTATATCTTACCCTAACTGCCTCCTCTTTAGTTTATAAACCTTCACCTCTCTCTTCCCTGATGCTTCTATTCTCCTTGTATCCCATCTACCTTTTACTCTCAGTGTAGCTACAACAGTGTATATACATACTATATATATATACATATATATATATATATTTTATATATATATATAATATATATATATATATATATATATATATATATATATATATATATATATATATATATATATATATATATTCAGCAAGTCGGCCGTCTCCCACCGAGGCAGGGTGACCCAAAAAGAAAGAAAATCCCCCAAAAAGCAAAATACTTTTATCATCATCAACACTCACCTCACTCACACATAATCACTGTTTTTGCAGAGGCGCCCAGATACAACAGTTTACAAGCATATATAAAGATATATAACATATCCCTCCAAACTGCCAATATCTCAGACCTCTCCTCTAAACTCCTTCCCATTTCCAGGACTCAAGTCCGGGTATATAAAAATAGCCGGCTTCCCTGAATCCCTTCACTAAATATTACCCTGCTCACACTCCAACAGATCGTCAGGTCCCAAAAACCATTCGTCTCCATTCACTCCTATCTAACATGCACGCATGCTTGCTGGAAGTCCAAGCCCCTCGCCCACAAAACCTCCTTTACCCCCTCCCTCCAACCTTTTCGAGGATGACCCCTACCCCGCCTTCCTTCCCCTACAGATTTTTATGCTCTCCATGTCATTCTACTTTGATCCATTCTCTCTAAATGACCAAACCATCTCAACAACCCCTCTTCTGCCCTCTGACTAATACTTTTATTAACTCCACACCTTCTCCTAATTTCCACACTCCGAATTTTCTGCATAATATTTACACCACACATTGCCCTTAGACAGGACATCTCCACTGCCTCCAACTGCCTCCTCGCTGCTGCATTTACCACCCAAGCTTCACACCCATATAAGAGTGTTGGTACTACTATACTTTCGTACATTCCTTTCTTTGCCTCCATAGATAACATTTTTTGTCTCCACATATACCTCAATGCACCACTCACCTTTTTTCTTCATCAATTCTATGATTAACCTCATCCTTCATAAACCCATCCGCTGACATGTCAACTCCCAAACATCTGAAAACATTCACTTCTTCCATACTCCTTCTCTCCAATGTGATAACCAATTTTTCTTTGCCTAAATCATTTGATACCCTCATCACCTTACTCTTATCTATGTTCACTTTTAATTTTCTACCTTTACACAAGCTCCCAAACTCGTCCACTAACCTTAGCAACTTTTCTTTAGAATCTCCCATAAGCACAGTATCATCAGCAAAAAGTAACTGTGTCAAGTCCCATTTTGTATTTGATTCCCCATAATTTAATCCCACCCCTCTCCCGAACACCCTAGCATTTACTTCGTTTACAACCCCATCTATAAATATATTAAACAACCATGGTGACATTACACATCCCTGTCTAAGAGCTACTTTTACCGGGAAGTAATCTCCCTCTCTTCTACACACCCTAACCTGAGCCTCACTATCCTCATAAAAACTCTTTACAGCATTTAGTAACTTACCACCTCTTCCATATATTTGCCACATTGCTCCCCTATCCACTCTATCATATGCCTTTTCTAAATCCATAAATGCAATGAAAACTTCCCTACCTTCGTCTAAATACTGTTCACATATATGCTTCAATGTAAACACTTGATCTACACATCCCCTACCCACTCTAAAACCTCCTTGCTTATCCGCAATCCTACTCTCTGTCTTACCTCTAATTCTTTCAATAATAACCCTACCGTACACTTTCCTGGTATACTCAGTAAACTTATTCCTTTATAATTTTTACAATCTCTTGTACCCCTTCTCTTTATATAAAGGAACTATACACGCTCTCTGCCAGTCCCAAGGTACCCTCCCCTCTTCCATACATTGTTAAACAAAAGTACCAACCACTCCAACACTATATCCCCCCATGCTTTTAGCATTTCTGTCATGATCCCATCAGTTCCTGCTGCTTTACCCCCTTTCATTCTACGTAATGCCTCACGTACCTCCACCACACTCACATCCAGCTCTTGTTCACTTCTAGATGATGTTATACCTCCCTGGCCAGTGCATGAAATGACCGCCTCCCTTTCTTCGTCGACATTTAAAAGTTCTCAAAATATTCCTGCCATCTACCTAATACCTCCAGCTCCCCATCTACTAACTCTCCTACTCTGCTTTTTAACTGACAAATCCATTCGTTCCCTAGGCTTTCTTAACTTGTTTATCTCACTCCAAAATTTTTTCTTATTTTCATCAAAATTTCTTGATAGTGCCTCTCCCACTCTATCATTTGCTCTCCTTTTGCACTCTCTCACCACTCTCTTCACCTTTGTTTTACCCTCCATATACTTTACTCTTCTTATAATACTTCTGCTTTGTAAAAACCTCTCATAAGCTACCCTTTTCTTTTTTATCACACCCTTTACTTCATCATTCCACCAATCACTCCTCTTTCCTCCTGCACCCACCCTCCTATAACCACAAACTTCTGCCCCACATTCTAATACTGCATTTTTAAAAATATTCCAACCTTCTTCAACCCCCCCCACTACTCATACTTACACTAGCACACCTTTCTGCCAATAGTTGCTTATATCTCACACGAACTTCCTCCTCCCTTAATTTATATACTTTAACCTCTCTCTTACTTGTTGTTATTTTCCTTTTGCCCCATCTACCTCTTATTCTAACTGTAGCTACAACTAGATAATGATCCGATATATCAGTTGCCCCTCTATAAACTTGTACATCCTGGAGCCTACCCATCAATCTTTTATCCACCAATATATAATCTAACAAACTATTTTCGTTACGTGCTACATCATACCTTGTATTTTCTCTTATACGTTTAAAGATATATTTTTTTTTCATTAATGTTGATGTAAAAATTTTTAATTTTGCATCAAAAGAATCTTAGAAAACTTACCTAACCTTATTATAACAAGAGCAATTTATTTTAGCCTAACCCAACTAAATATATTTTAGATTTGTTTACAGTAATTTAATACTAAACAAACACAGTGAAATATATTTTTTTCGTTAGGGTCAGAATGATTTTGGCGAAATTATTACATACACAAAATTTCCCTAGTCCTATATGGCAAGATGAGCGTTGCTATTTAAGCCAAGATGGCAAGTTCTGCCTATTCGGCACATGTATATATATATATATAATATATATATATATATATATATATATATATATATATATATATATATATATATATATATTATATTATATGTGTGTTGTGTGTGTGTGTGTGTGTGTGTGTGTGTGTGTGTGTGTGTGTGTGTGTGTGTGTGTGTGTGTGTGTGTGTGTGTGTGTTATGAGTGCATATTATACAAATTTAAAGGTTGTCGAGTGTGGACGTGTTTTGTCTGGCACTGGATTGGGTAATCGTTCGTACATCGGCTTTTTGTTGAATCAGCGTTATTATTGTGTTTGTTTGAGCCTCAGTAGCCCTACTAAGAAAACTATTCCACTCCAACAACGACAACAAATGGCCGAACACTTTCATTTGCGGTTTAATCCCCGCAGCACCTCCTCTGAAGGGTCAGTAATTGTTTACTCTAAGAAATCCAAGTCATGCTGAGAACGCCAGTTCGTGATCAGCGGATCATTAAGTTTGGGAGCCTCTCGTTCCTAACATCTTAAGTACACAAGACCCCAATGAAAAAAAAAAAGACCACATGTGACCACAAGAACGAAGGAACACAGACGGGTACTCACTTATCCATCCAATCTATATTTGAAACTAGCCAAAGTTCTCGCCTCATTTACGCTACTTGGGAATTTGCTCTACGCCTCTGTTGGGTAAAAGGACAAGCCGTAATGGCCTAACAGAGCTCCTGGAGAGAGAAGCGTTGTCGCAATAAAATGTCGCATTAATTGCACTTGTGTCCTTTTACCCAACATATTGTCGGTAATTCTACCAACATTATTATAATTTGTTGGGTAAAAGGACACAAATGCTAATAATGTAATATTTTATTGTGGCAAGGCTCGACCCAGGAGATAATCTATTATACCATATCCCGCTACGTTTCTCGGGTTATCATACCTTATTTTCTACAGAATTTGCCACCAGTGTAAGTATATGACAAAGTATCTATGGTGGAAATATAAATATATGCCACTATGTAAACTATACATAGTAATTACCTATTTGCAGATGAGAGACACAAAAAAAATTGGAAATAGGCTTAAAAGAGAGACGTAAAGAAACACAGGCATCCCAGCTCGTACATGTGACATTAATGAGTAGACTACGAACATATATTTTCCTATATCTTTTCTAAACCTAAACTTATCAAATTTGAATCCATTATTTCTAGTATTATTATTGAAATAAAAACAGGGCAACAATTTTATTGACACAACGTTCATCTCAACAGAAGTTTTACTCATTTTTTTGCATATATTTCAGCCATTCTGTCAGCTCTACGACAACTCTTCTTTCTATTATTATCATTACTGGTATTATGGCATTATTACGATATGTATTTTGTCTCCTGACAGATGGCTTCCCAAAACATAGTAGCGATAGTTGTGGCTGCGGCAGTCAGCTTCCTAGTTGGTGGCATCATAGGTCACCTTGGCACTGGCATTGACACTATCTCCAGCAGTGACAAGGAGAAGATCAGGTCAGTATAGATCTGTAAGATCATTTTAGGTACTTTACGGTCTTCTAGACTTTTAAGTATTCTATTGGAAGCTGCATAGAATTGGTTGGGTATATCGTAAACCACTTGGGGGTAGTGAACAGGTGAGGGATTAATTTGCAAAGCCTCGTGAGCGTGAACGTTATAAAGAGAGATTTAACAAAAATTGTACAGGGAAAGGTTACACTATAGATTTCATTTTCCGTGTACAACTCTATTGTTAAATTTAGATTTAGATTTAAATTTTTTATTTTGACAAATTACATGGCTATACAGAGGAATAAGTCACTCTGTCTGACTTTTTTGGGTTATCCCAGGTTCTCTACACATATGCTGCTATGTATGATAATTCTATGTAACTGTATTGTGTATATCTGAATAAATTTACTTACTTACTTACTTACATGCCAAAAGCCCCTCTGTATGTTGAGCATTTCCGGCAAACTTAAAGATTAAACCATACCCCGGCCGGGATTGAACCCGCAATCGTGTCATTACGATTTCGCGAGTCAAGTTAAAGATTAACTTAACTTCAGACTTGCACTCCGAGCACTTCCCATGTTAATATCCATGTATGCTGAAGAGGCTCCCAGAAGGGGGTCGAAATATACAAATTAATCTGAGATTTTATCTTCATGTGGGATATTACTGAACAGTGACGGTGTTCTTTACACTACAGTTATTCATACGGTTATAAATATAAACCCACAAACAAAATCAGTTACTGTAAACTAACTCAAATTAATATACATAATTAAAGTAACTGAAATCAGAAATAATGCACAAAAATACTCAGCTTGAAAATAATGACCACCAACACTGGCACCTCTAACAACATTTTATTGTATATTCAGCATAATGGAGAAGCTGGTGGCAGACAAGTGGGAATCTGAGGAGCATCTTAACCACAAAATAATTGATATGGTCAACACGGACAACCTCAGAAATAATCTCATGTAAGTATACTAAGATAACCTGTGTCAGGTTTACGAAGTATATTCTGTTCTCACAGCCTACTTGAGGCTAGACTTTCCTGAGGACTGCTAGATCAGCCTACTTGAGGCTAGGCTTTCCTGGGGACTGCTGGATTAGCCTCGTGAGTCTAGGCTTTTCTGGGGACTGCTGGATTAGCCTCGTGAGTCTAGGCTTTTCTGGGGACTGCTGGATTAGCCTCGTGAGTCTAGGCTTTTCTGGGGACTGCTGGATTAGCCTCGTGAGTCTAGGCTTTTCTGGGGACTGCTGGATTAGCCTCGTGAGGCTAGGCTTTTCTGGGGACTGCTGGATTAGCCTCGTGAGTCTAGGCTTTTCTGGGGACTGCTGGATTAGCCTCGTGAGGCTAGGCTTTTCTGGGGACTGCTGGATCGGCCTCGTGAGGCTAGGCTTTTCTGGGGACTGCTGGATCAGCCTCGTGAGGCTAGGCTTTTCTGGGGACTGCTGGATTAGCCTCGTGAGGCTAGGCTTTTCTGGGGACTGCTGGATTAGCCTCGTGAGTCTAGGCTTTCCTGGGGACTGCTGGATCAGCCTACTTGAGGCTAGGCTTTCCTGGGGACTGCTGGATTAGCCTCGTGAGTCTAGGCTTTTCTGGGGACTGCTGGATTAGCCTCGTGAGGCTAGGCTTTTCTGGGGACTGCTGGATTAGCCTCGTGAGTATAGGCTTTTCTGGGGACTGCTGGATTAGCCTCGTGAGGCTAGGCTTTTCTGGGGACTGCTGGATCAGCCTCGTGAGGCTAGGCTTTTCTGGGGACTGCTGGATCAGCCTCGTGAGGCTAGGCTTTTCTGGGGACTGCTGGATTAGCCTTGTGAGGCTAGGCTTTCCTGGGGACTACTGGATCAGCCTCGTGAGGCTAGGCTTTCTGGGGACTGCTGGATTAGCCTCGTGAGGCTACTAGGCCTTTCTGGGGACTGCTGGATCAGCCTCGTGAGGCTAGGCTTTCCTGGGGACTACTGGATCAGCCAGGCTATTGGGAAAGAGGTTCGAGGAAAAACTGCCTAGCATAGGCCTGCTGTAGTGTTTTTTGTATTTTTTTAACAAGAAACTGATGGAAAGACTGCAGCATAATGGCAACCTTCATCAAGACAACGTTTCGCTTGGAGACCGAACTTTGCCATATCAATATATATAGTACAAGGATAATACACAGTAAACATGCGTATGGTCGAGGTGTGTGTGTGTGTGTGTGTGCACTCAGGGATCACATTAACTTGGAATTTCCCGATTATATATACATGTACTTGTCATGTTCTCTCTTCAGGGAAATCTACAATTTCGTGAGTAGTAATGTAAACGCATAGTATATGCTTCAGGCGTAGAACAGTGCATTATGTAATTTTAATCTTAATCTAGAGTAATGTAATTAAGGCAGCATTCATGATAAGTGTTTTGCATGATACAGAGAACTGGCCAAGTTTCCACATCTGGCCGGGACAGAGAGAGATCACCAGCTGGCCCATATGATACGTGATCGGTTCCTGGAGGCTGGCTTTGATACCGCTGACCTTGTTCCTTATGATGTCCTCCTTTCCCGACCCAACCGTACCAACCCTAACTTGGTAAGTACCAACCTCCCTCTCTGTCCTTCCCTTCCTCAACCACACTAACGTAAACTGAATCTAAATGGCTGATATATTACGGATATTACGGGAGCAATGGGCTAGTAACCCCTTCTCCTGTAGACATTTACTAAAAAAGAGAAGAAGAAAAACTTTATAAAACTGGGATGCTTAAATGTGCGTGGATGTAGTGCGGATGACAAGAAACAGATGATTGCTGATGTTATGAATGAAAAGAAGTTGGATGTCCTGGCCCTAAGCGAAACAAAGCTGAAGGGGGTAGGGGAGTTTCAGTGGGGGGAAATAAATGGAATTAAATCTGGAGTATCTGAGAGAGTTAGAGCAAAGGAAGGGGTAGCAGTAATGTTGAATGATCAGTTATGGAAGGAGAAAAGAGAATATGAATGTGTAAATTCAAGAATTATGTGGATGAAAGTAAAGGTTGGATGCGAGAAGTGGGTTATAATAAGCGTGTATGCACCTGGAGAAGAGAGGAATGCAGAGGAGAGAGAGAGATTTTGGGAGATGTTAAGTGAATGTATAGGAGCCTTTGAACCAAGTGAGAGAGTAATTGTGGTAGGGGACATGAATGCTAAAGTAGGAGAAACTTTTAGAGAGGGTGTGATAGGTAAGTTTGGGGTGCCAGGTGTAAATGATAATGGGAGCCCTTTGATTGAACTTTGTATAGAAAGGGGTTTAGTTATAGATAACACATATTTTAAGAAAAAGAGGATAAATAAGTATACAAGATATGATGTAGGGCGAAATGACAGTAGTTTGTTGGATTATGTATTGGTAGATAAAAGACTGTTGAGTAGACTTCAGGATGTACATGTTTATAGAGGGGCCACAGATATATCAGATCACTTTCTAGTTGTAGCTACACTGAGAGTAAAAGGTAGATGGGATACAAGGAGAATAGAAGCATCAGGGAAGAGAGAGGTGAAGGTTTATAAACTAAAAGAGGAGGCAGTTAGGGTAAGATATAAACAGCTATTGGAGGATAGATGGGATAATGAGAGCATAGGCAATGGGGTCGAAGAGGTATGGGGTAGGTTTAAAAATGTAGTGTTAGAGTGTTCAGCAGAAGTTTGTGGTTACAGGAAAGTGGGTGCAGGAGGGGAAGAGGAGCGATTGGTGGAATGATGATGTAAAAGAGAGTAGTAAGGGAGAAAAAGTTAGCATATGAGAAGTTTTTACAAAGTAGAAGTGATGCAAGGAGGGAAGAGTATATGGAGAAAAAGAGAGAGGTTAAGAGAGTGGTGAAGCAACGTAAAAAGAGAGCAAATGAGAGAGTGGGTGAGATGTTATCAACAAATTTTGTTGAAAATAAGAAAAAGTTTTGGAGTGAGATTAACAGTTAAGAAAGCCTAGAGAACAAATGGATTTGCCAGTTAAAAATAGGAGAGGAGAGTTATTAAATGGAGAGTTAGAGGTATTGGGAAGATGGAGGAATATTTTGAGGAATTGTTAAATGTTGATGAAGATAGGGAAGCTGTGATTTCGTGTATAGGACAAGGAGGAATAACATCTTGTAGGAGTGAGGAAGAGCCAGTTGTGAGTGTGGGGGAAGTTCGTGAGGCAGTAGGTAAAATGAAAGGGGGTAAGGCAGCCGGGATTGATGGGATAAAGATAGAAATGTTAAAAGCAGGTGGGGATATAGTTTTGGAGTGGTTGGTGCAATTATTTAATAAATGTATGGAAGAGGGTAAGGTACCTAGGATTGGCAGAGAGCATGCATAGTTTCCTTTGTATAAAGGCAAAGGGGATAAAAGAGAGTGTAAAAATTATAGGGGGATAAGTCTGCTGAGTATACCTGGTAAAGTGTATGGTAGAGTTATTATTGAAAGAATTAAGAGTAAGACGGAGAATAGGATAGCAGATGAACAAGGAGGCTTTAGGAAAGGTAGGGGGTGTGTGGACCAGGTGTTTACAGTGAAACATATAAGTGAACAGTATTTAGATAAGGCTAAAGAGGTCTTTGTGGCATTTATGGATTTGGAAAAGGCGTATGACAGGGTGGATAGGGGGCAATGTGGCAGATGTTGCAAGTGTATGGTGAGGAGGTAGGTTACTGAAAGCAGTGAAGAGTTTTTATGAGGATAGTGAGGCTCAAGTTAGAGTATGTAGGAAAGAGGGAAATTATTTCCCAGTAAAAGTAGGCCTTAGACAAGGATGTGTGATGTCACCGTGGTTGTTTAATATATTTATAGATGGGGTTGTAAGAGAAGTAAAATGCGAGGGTCTTGGCAAGAGGCATGGAGTTAAAAGATAAAGAATCACACACAAAGTGGGAGTTGTCACAGCTGCTCTTTGCTGATGACACTGTGCTCTTGGGAGATTCTGAAGAGAAGTTGCAGAGATTGGTGGATGAATTTGGTAGGGTGTGCAAAAGAAGAAAATTAAAGGTGAATACAGAAAGAGTAAGGTTATGAGGATAATAAAAAGATTAGGTGATGAAAGATTGAATATCAGATTGGAGGGAGAGAGTATGGAGGAGGTAAATGTATTCAGATATTTGGGAGTGGACGTGTCAGCGGATGGGTCTATGAAAGATGAGGTGAATCATAGAATTGATGAGGGGAAAAGAGTGAGTGGTTCACTTAGGAGTCTGTGGAGACAAAGAACTTTGTCCTTGGAGGCAAAGAGGGGAATGTATGAGAGTATAGTTTTACCAACGCTCTTATATGGTGTGTGAAGCATGGGTGATGAATGTTGCAGCGAGGAGAAGGCTGGAGGCAGTGGAGATGTCATGTCTGAGGGCAATGTGTGGTGTGAATATAATGCAGAGAATTCGTAGTTTGGAAGTTAGGAGGAGGTGCAGGATTACCAAAACTGTTGTCCAGAGGGCTGAGGAAGGGTTGTTGAGGTGGTTCGGACATGTAGAGAGAATGGAGCGAAACAGAATGACTTCAAGAGTGTATCAGTCTGTAGTGGAAGGAAGGCAGGGTAGGGGTCGGCCTAGGAAAGGTTGGAGAGAGGGGGTAAAGGAGGTTTTGTGTGCGAGGGGCTTGGACTTCCAGCAGGCATGCGTGAGCGTGTTTGATAGGAGTGAATGGAGACAAATGGTTTTTAATACTTGACGTGCTGTTGGAGTGTGAGCAAAGTAACATTTATGAAGGGGTTCAGGGAAACCGGCAGGCCGGACTTGAGTCCTGGAGATGGGAAGTACAGTGCCTGCACTCTGAAGGAGGGGTGTTAATGTTGCAGTTTAAAAACTGTAGTGTAAAGCACCCTTCTGGCAAGACAGTGATGGAGTGAATGATGGTGAAAGTTTTTCTTTTTCGGGCCACCCTGCCTTGGTGGGAATCGGCCAGTGTGATAATAAAAAAAAAATAACTACAACCAGGGAGACTCTGGGAGACTGCTGCCAAGCATGCGAGCGTGTTTGGCAAGTCTCTCAGAGACATTCTCTCTGGCTGTGTGTGCCTACTGTCGGTTCAATACACTATTAACACCTACTTCCTCTCTACCTACCACCAGATACCTTGGTCATAGTCTCTTGTGGATTATACCTCCGTTTTGACTATACAGTCTCATACAGTGCCTTGGGAATGGACGGTAATTTAGGCTTGATTCAAGGAAGGGGAGGCTAGCTCAGATTCCTTTGATTAAAATCCTTTCACCAGCATGAAGGTACCTCCATGGAAGGGATGGGTCGCGTCCAGTGGCGGGCCATCACATGACTTAGACCAGCGTCAGGAAACGCTTGTCCTGTTCCCTGACGAATCTTACCTAACCTAACCTAGTATTGATAATTGTTTCTGCTGTCTACTTCTGCCTGAATTTATTTTATTACAATTAAATGTAACACCAGTTGACCCAGGTGCTAAAGTTAATAAGTTCACTATTTTGCCATTATACTCCAAAGCTCATTTATTTGATTACCACTTTATTGTTCACCACAACTTATATTAGTCCCTTTTATATTATAATTTTATATTATAATTCTAACTTTAACTACCTACTATCATATTCCCAAGCTCCATTATTTGATCATCACTTTATTTGTTCACCACAAATTATTTTAGTCCCTTTTATATTGTCTCCTTTATTTTAGCTTTAAAAAACTACCTTAGCTCATTATTTTTTACATTTGTTAAATAATTCAGGTGCTATTTTTTTAGCTTTAGAATATTTACTTTATTTTTTACTTAATTCTAACTATAGATTCACTACAAATCTTATGATTACAAGCATTAATCCTGATACCAACCTCTTATTTAATGACTTAAATGATTCAAACAGTTACTGTAATTACTACACTGCAGAACAATCAAAGGCACTTCTCAGTGCCAACAACAACATAACTATCTTTAACTACAATATAAGATCTTTAAGCAAGCATTACGATGACCTCATAGCATTACTAAATTCCTTGCATGTCAATATGTCCATCATTACACTAACTGAAACCTGGCTAAAGCCTGATAGTACAGATGTCTATGCCATTCCTGGTTACACAGCCATACACAACTGTAGGCCAGACCAACAAGGGGGTGGCACAGCTATATACTACTCAGACCAACTAGAATGTATCACTAATACTTGCACAAGGGATGAACATGGGGAATATATAATAGCTAAATTCAAATCCAAATACCTACAAAAACGTCTCACAGTGATAAACATCTACAGAGTTCCACAATCAAACATTAGCCAATTTAGTCAAAACCTAGGAAGTATGATAACTGATGCACGCATGAACAAAGATCACTTACTACTCTCAGGTGACTTCAATATAAATCTCCTGCAAGACCAGGACCCACACGTTACTGAATTCACAAACACAATGAGTAACTGCATGTTGCTACCAACAGTAACAAAACCTACAAGAGTTACAGAGACTAGTGTTTCCCTACTTGACCACATCTGGACCAACACCTATCCCCTTTAAAATCAGCATAATTACAGATAATACCACAGACCACTACCCTACTTTCCTCATAACAACTCTTGGTAAAATACCCCAAGACACTACTAAAGTCACCTTCAGACTTCACAATGAGGCAGCCATTAATAACTTCACAACAGCAGTAACAAACATTGACTGGCACACTGAGCTAGAAATCTATACAGATATTGACAAATGTTTTAATAATTTTCTAAAAAAGACCCAATACCTTTATAACAAGCACTGCCCTAAAAAAACTAAACAGATGACAGCTAAGAGACTGAACAGTCCCTGGCTAAAACCCAACATTCTCAAATCCATAAATACAAAACACCGATATGAAAAACAGTACAGAATGGGTCACATAACCAGAGACCAAACAAAACGTTACTCGTCAATCCTAACCAGCCTGATAAGAAGGGCAAAAAAATTGTATTACGAGAACAGATTATCCAACTTACGAGGTGATATAAAAAAGACCTGGAAGACCCTATCAGAAATTCTGGGAACAAAAAAGATATCACGACATAGCGAAATAAAATTAGCAAAATCAGATGAACCCCAACTCCCACCAACAGAAACAGCAAACAGAATCAATGATTTCTTCTCCACTATAGGTCAAAACCTTGCCAATAATATCCCAAGCTCAGATACCCCACCAAATGACTACCTCACTGGCAACTACCCGAACACACTGTTCCTAGCTCCGACTAACCCATACGAAGTCTCCCTTATTATCAACGCACTGAAAAACAAGGCAGGAGATTTAAATACCTTACCACCCTTTATATACAAAAAAGCGTCACAAGTACTATCACCAATCATTGCAACACTCTTTAACAAATCCATTGAATCCTCCACCTTCCCTACAGTTCTCAAAATAGCAAGGGTCACCCCGATCCATAAAGGAGGAGACCAAACAGAGTTGAATAACTATAGGCCAATATCCAATTTACACCCCTCCTCAAAAATCTTCGAAAAATTAATTCATAAATGAATCTACTCCTACCTCATCTCCCATAACATTCTCAACCCTGCCAATTTGGATTCAGGCCTAATAAAAATACTAATGATGCTATTATACACATGCTAGAACATATATACACTGCAATAGAGAAAAAAGAAGTCCACACTGGGGATCTTCATTGACTTACGTAAAGCTTTTGATACAGTTGACCATGACTTGCTTCCACGTAAAATTGTCACACTATGGTATAAGAGGGCACTCCCTCAACTACCTCAAGTCATACCTCAGCAACAGAAGCCAATATGTGTACGCAAATGGGCAAGCTCTTCCGCACAACCAATTACAGTTGTGTCCCACAGGGAAGTGTCCTTGGCCCTCTTCTCTTTCTCCTATACATAAATGACCTACCAAATGCTTCGCAATTACTCAAACCCACACTTTTTGCAGATGACACCACATACGTCTTCTCTCACCCGAGCCCAGTCACGCTAGCCAGTACTGTAAATACCGAATTACAGAAAATATCTACCTGGATGAGGACTAACAAACTTACACTGAACATTGACAAAACCTACTTCATTCAGTTTGGTAGCAGAGCTACAGATGTACCTCTTAACATAACGATAAACGTATCACCTATCACAAAGCTAACAGAGGGAAAATTCTTAGGAATCCACCTCGATAATAGACTCAAATTTCATACACATATACAACAAATTTCTAAGAAAATTTCCAAGACTGTAGCCATACTATCGAAGATACGGTACTATGTTCCACAGTCCTAACAGAATACTCCATTCTACTGAATGAACAGCAATGCATGCAACCATAGGACCTGTCTTTGTAATACTCATTTGTATTTTATAGTTATCTGTTTACAATAATGTCTTATCACTGATTTCATCATTGCTTAGTTAATCTTAAGTTAATGTTAAGCCAGCCCGTAATGCTGTGCATATAAGTGGCTTTGGCATGCTGCTCTTACCTGTATTTTTTGTACCTCTGTTTGTATGCTAAAATTTCTAAATAAATAAATAAATAAATAAATAAATAAATAAATAAATAAATAAAGAATAGTAAGGTGTAGTTAACACAAAAGAATTCTCATACACATTTTCTGTTTTTGACTGCGTGGTCAGATCACTCTTGAAGACGGGGAAGGTCAGATTATCTTCAGCAGTACCTACCAGGAGAAGCCACTGCATGAGGATGATAGTGACCCTGAGTTCATCCATGCCTTTAATGCCTTTACGCCTGCAGGTGGGTGCTGGGACAGGTGTGGGTACTGGGACAGGTGTGGGTGCTGGGACAGGTGTGGGTGCTGGGAAGGTGTGGGTGCTGGGACAGGTGTGGGTGTTGGGACGGGTGTGGGTGCTGGGACAGGTGTGGGTGTTGGGACGGGTGTGGGTGCTGGGACAGGTGTAGGTGCTGGGGAAGGTGTGGGTGCTGGGACAGGTGTGGGTGTTGGGACGGGTTTGGGTGCTGGGACGGGTGTGGGTGCTGGGACAGGTGTGGGTGCTGAGACATCCTGGAGGGTGTTCGTGAGTCAACACCCCTGCGCCCAAGTCCTTGACCAGGCCTGGTGTGGGTGCTGGAACAGGTGGCCAGTGGGGAAATACAGTGCAAAACACGACGTGGTAATACTGTATAGGAGTTAAGGCATGTGTTGTTCCATCTTCAGTAATATAAATTCCCCTCCCCTTAAAAAAACCGTAGGTGCAACTCACTGTCTCTTGTGCATCATACCATTGATGTGACGTTAGCAAGAGAAACTTCCCAGTGTTCTTCCTGCAACTCGTCTTCCTTAGTTTGCAGTTATATCCTCAAGTTATGCCAGGTAATGATGTGGGGGTTGTGTGTGCCAGAAAATGAAGGACGTGAACTAAGAGGAACTTACCATATTGAATAAGAGAAGGCGTGAGATACGATAACAGCGTAAGTGATACTCAGAATTTGGGTTAGTTTAATAATAATAATAATAATAATAATAATAATAATAATAATAATAATAATAATAATAATAATAATAATAATAATAATAATATCTTTATGTCTACAAGTACATGTACAAGGTATACAGACCATAGCTTGTTATGCAGAGCATTTCAGGTAAATTAGGTCAATTTTGTCCCAGGATGCGACCCACACCAGTCGATTAACACCCAGGTACCCATTTTACTGATGAGTGACGAGGGACAACCTGTGTAAGGAAACACGCCCAAATGTTTCTACCCTCGCCGGCAATCGAACCATGGACCCTCAACGTGTGAAGCGAGAGCGTTGCCTTCCAGGCCACGGGCTTCAAGCCTATTGGCCACACAAAGGCTCATTAAGGATGTAACCTTAACACCACGTAAATTAACAGCATATCTGGACAGAAACACGCAGTGAGTATATATACCCTTGAGCGTCAAGGGTATGTACACAGTGAATGTATACCCTTGAAAGTCTAGGGTCATTCACTGGCATCAACTTAGAAAGTAAAAAGGCCAGTAGGTTAGACCGTTAGACAGAGTATATATGTAGTCTAAGGTCAGTGTACTGTTCCACTTCCTGTCTGTTACACCTATGCTAGAATACAGGTGTAAGAGAGGAACACACAGGTTTAACAGACATAAACACACAGGTGTAACAGACAGGAACGCACAGATGTAACAGACATGAACACACAGGTGTAACAGACAGGAAAGCACAGATGTAACAGACAGGAACACACAGGTGTAACAGACAGGAACACACAGGTGTAACAGACAGGAACACACAGGTGTAACAGACAGGAACACACATGGTGTAACAGACAGGAAACACACAAGTGTAACAGACAGGAACACACAAGTGTAACAGACAGGAACACACAAGTGTAACAGACAGGAACACACAGGTGTAACAGACAGGAACACACAGGTATAACAGACAGGAACACACAAGTGTAACAGACAGGAACACACAAGTGTAACAGACAGGAACACACAGGTGTAACAGACAGGAACACACAGATGTAACAGACAGGAACATACAAGTGTAACAGACAGGAACACAAAGGTGTAACAGACAGGAACACACAAGTGTAACAGACAGGAACACACAGGTGTAGCAGACAGAAACACACAGGTGTAACAGACAGGAACACACAAGTGTAACAGACAGGAACACACAGGTGTAACAGACAGGAGCACACAGGTGTGACAGAAACACACAGGTGTAACAGACAGGAACACACAAGTGTAACAGACAGGAACACACAAGTGTAACAGACAGGAACACACAAGTGTGACAGGAACACACAGGTGTAACAGACAGGAACACACGTGTAACAGACAGGAACACACAAGTGTAACAGACAGGAACGCACAGGTGTAACAAACAGGAACACACAGGTGTAACAGACCGGAACACACAGGTGTAACAGACAGGAACACACAAGTGTAACAGACAAGAACACACAGGTGTAACAGACAGGAGCACACAGGTGAGACAGGAACACACAGGTGTAACAGACAGGAACACACAAGTGTAACAGACAGGAACACACAAGTGTAACAGACAGGAACACACAAGTGTGACAGGAACACACAGGTGTAACAGACAGGAACACAAGTGTAACAGACAGGAACACACAGGTGTAACAGACAGGAACACACAAGTGTAGCAGACAGGAACACACAAGTATAACAGACAGGAACACACAAGTGTGACAGGAACACACAGGTGTAACAGACAGGAACACAAGTGTAACAGACAGGAATACACAGGTGTAACAGACAGGAACACACAGGTGTAACAGACAGGAACACACAGGTGTAACAGACAGGAACACACAAGTGTAACAGACAGGAACACACAAGTGTAGCAGACAGGAACACACAAGTGTAATAGACAGGAACACACAGGTGTAACAGACAGGAACACAAGTGTAACAGACAGGAACACACAAGTGTAACAGACAGGAACACACAAGTGTAACAGACAGGAACACGCAAATGTAACAGACAGGAACACACAAGTGTAACAGACAGGAACACACAGGTGTAACAGACAAGAACACACAAGTGTAACAGACAGGAACACACAAGTGTAAAAGACAGGAACACACAAGTGTAACAGACAGGAACACACAAGTGTAACAGACAGGAACACACAAGTGTAACAGACAGGAACACACAAGTGTAACAGACAGGAACACACAAGTGTAACAGACAGGAACACACAGGTGTAAGAGACAGGAACACACAGGTGTAACAGACAGGAACGCACAAGTGTAACAGACAGGAACACACAGGTGTAACAGACAGGAACACACAAGTGTAACAGACAGGAACACACAGGTGTAACAGACAGGAACACACAAGTGTAACAGACAGGAACACACAAGTGTAACAGACAGGAACACACAAGGTGTAAACAGACAGGAACACGCAAGTGTAAACAGACAGGAACACACAGGTGTAACAAACATAACACACAGGTGTAACAGACAGGAACACACAAGTGTAAACAGACAGGAACACACAAGTGTAACAGACAGGAACACACAAGTGTAACAGACAGGAACACACAGGTGTAACAGACAGGAACACACAGGTGTAACAGACAGGAACACACAAGTGTAACAGACAGGAACACACAAGTGTAACAGACAGGAACACACAAGTGTAACAGACAGGAACACACAGGTGTAACAAACATTAACACACAGGTGTAACAGACAGGAACACACAAGTGTAACAGACAGGAACACACAAGTGTAACAGACAGGAACACACAGGTGTAACAGACAGGAACACACAGGTGTAACAGACAGGAACACACAGGTGTAACAGACAGGAACACACAGGTGTAACAGACAGGAACACACAAGTGTAACAGACAGGAACACACAGGTGTAACAGACAGGAACACACAGGTGTAACAGACAGGAACACACAAGTGTAACAGACAGGAACACACAAGTGTAACAGACAGGAACACACAGGTGTAACAAACATTAACACACAGGTGTAACAAACATTAACACACAGGTGTAACAAACATTAACACACAGGTGTAACAAACATTAACACACAGGTGTAACAGACATTAACACACAGGTGTAACAAACATTAAACACAGGTGTAACAAACATTAACACACAGGTGTAACAAACATTAACACACAGGTGTAACAAACATTAACACACAGGTAAGTACCTAAATACACGCAAGTTTATTTTAATCTACAAACTTCGTTCTCTGTAAATAAAACATTACCAATGTTTTTGCGCGTGTGACCTAATTAATGTTTACATTAATAACTCATTACGATATAAACATGTCAATAGTTCATTAAATTTGTAACTTGTTCAGCCATCAAAACTTTGTGGCTCAGTCTCTGAACCCATTATGTACCTCTGTAATGTTGAGGTACAGTCCCTGAATCCATTATGTACCTCTGTAATGTTGACGTACAGTCCCTGAACCCATTATGTACCTCTGTAATGTTGACGTACAGTCCCTGGACCCATTATGTACCTCTGTAATGTTGACGTACAGTCCCTGAACCCATTATGTACCTCTGTAAAGTTGAGGTACAGTCCCTGAACCCATTATGTACCTCTGTAATGTTGACGTACAGTCCCTGAACCCATTATGTACCTCTGTAAAGTTGAGGTACAGTCCCTGAACCCATTATGTACCTCTGTAATGTTGACGTACAGTCCCTGAACCCATTATGTACCTCTGTAAAGTTGACGTACAGTCCCTGAACCCATTATGTACCTCTGTAAAGTTGAGGTACAGTCCCTGAACCCATTATGTACCTCTGTAAAGTTGAGGTACAGTCCCTGAACCCATTATTTACCTCTGTAATGTTGACGTACAGTCCCTGAACCCATTATGTACCTCTGTAAAGTTGAGGTACAGTCCCTGAACCCATTATGTACCTCTGTAAAGTTAAGGTACAGTCCCTGAACCCATCATGTACCTCTGTAAAGTTGAGGTACAGTCCCTGAACCCATTATGTACCTCTGTAATGTTGACGTACAGTCCCTGAACCCATTATGTACCTCTGTAAAGTTGAGGTACAGTCCCTGAACCCATTATGTACCTCTGTAAAGTTAAGGTACAGTCCCTGAACCCATTATGTACCTCTGTAAAGTTGAGGTACAGTCCCTGAACCCATTATGTACATCTGTAAAGTTGACGTACAGTCCCTGGACCCATTATGTACGTCTGTAATGTTGAGGTACAGTTCCTGGCCCCATTATATACGTCTGTAATTTTTTAACTGCCACCCACAGGATAGTTATGGGCTGCATAATGAAAGTTATTAGACCAACTAACTACGGCGTTGTCACCAGGTGACGTCCGTACAGAGGCTGGTCGTGGGGTGGTGTATGTCAACTACGCCAGAGTAGAGGACTTTGACAAGTTGGAAGAACTCAATGTTAATGTCTCTGGCTGCATCGTTATTGCTCGCTACGGCAAGATCTTCAGAGGGAACAAGGTGAGTGCATCCTCTAAGAGCTAGCTATAGTTCTCTCTCTCTCTCTCTCTCTCTCTCTCTCTCTCTCTCTCTCTCTCTCTCTCTCTCTCTCTCTCTCTCTCTCTCTCTCTCTCTCTCTCTCTCTCTCTTTCTCTCTCTCGCTCTCTCTCTCACACACTGCGTGGAATAGACAAGGTGGATAGAGACAGATTGTTCCAGAGATGGGACACAGAAACAAGGGGTCAAAGTTGGAAGTTGAAGATCCAGATGAGTCACAGGGATGTTAGGAAGTATTTCTTCAGTCATAGAGTTGTCAGGAAGTGGAATAGTCTGGTAATTGACGTAGTGGAGGCAGAAACCATACATAGCTTTAAGACGAGGTATGATAAAGCTCATGGAGCAGGGCGAGAGAGGACCTAGTAGCGTTCAGTGAAGAGGCGGGGGCCAGGAGCTGAGCCTCGACCCCTGCAGCCCCAATTAGGTGAGTACATACTAAAGGGCATGGACAGCAATCAGTATACTGTTAACTAATACAGTTAGGATAAACAATGGCACAATCAACACTATGCCGTTATGTATACGCTTGAACAAAGTTTTATCTGGTATACATATGTGAGGATCTAAACAACATTTCACCTAACAACAGTCATAACAACAGAAACTATCACTGGAACAACCAGTCTGGTCATAACAACAGAAACTATCACTGGAACAACCAGTCTGGTCATAACAACAGAAACTATCACTGGAACAACCAGTCTGGTCATAACAACAGAAACTATCACTGGAACAACCAGTCTGGTCATAACAACAGAAACTATCACTGGAACAACCAGTCTGGTCATAACAACAGAAACTATCACTGGAACAACCAGTCTGGTCATAACAACAGAAACTATCACTGGAACAACCAGTCTGGTCATAACAACAGAAACTATCACTGGAACAACCAGTCTGATCCCAGGTAACACCTTCCCACCTCGCCCTCCGTTTTCACTATAAAACTTAAGTCTTCCTAAAATAAAAATGTATATACACGTATGAGTTACGTAAGTTAGGTAAACAAGATACTCGATACACACTGACCATCAGTTTAAACAATTCCTGGGGCTGTGGCAGACACATTAATGGAAGCGCATGAGTTAGCTATCCAACGCGTGCGTGTTGATAAGACGCAGGTGTAGTAGTTAGGTACCTGTCAGACACTGCAACATCTCGGGATCTTGATACAAGGAATTCTTAAATGCTTGTGCAGCCTATGGCCACGAAAACTTACAGTAGTGTCAACTCATCTGACTAAAGTACCTAAGCCACTTCTCCGAGCATATGCTGTACTTTCAAGATTGATTGGATTGAACACATCGATTCCAGGCTGAGGGATTGATTATCTCAAACTAATCCTCTTTTTCTACCGTTCTTCTTTGTATTGGACTGATGAAGCCACTTTGTGGCGAAACGTTTCCTCAATAAAGATTTCTAAATGTTACAAAAGTATCTGATTCTTCATTTTCAATCGAATACGGAGGCAGCAGGAGGGGTGAAGACGATGTCTTCAGTCCATCATCCTTGAAGACGTAGTTCTGAGGTGGTCAGTCCCTCAGCCTTGAGAAGAATTCTGCTCCATTGTCTGGAACAATGTGAAGGTGAAGCAACAATGGCGACTTATATGCTGTCTAAGGCACAACTTCACCTGAACACCGTGGTGATCAGTGGACGAAGAATTTCGAAAAACCCACCTGAAAATTCAAAAAAAAAAAAAATTGTCACTAGTTTCATATACACCTAAAAATATATCTCTTAAAGTTACAAAAATTATGTGTTAACCACAAAAAATATTATGCAATAACTACTGGTAATATCTAGATTATTGCTTAGCCCCATTGTAATCTAAATCATCCATTGTAATATCTAAACTATCTTATATGTTGGTGCTGATGTTTATTTCCCACTATAATCTACCTTGTCCATAGTTACTATAACATTTGCTTTGTCTGTTTCGTAAGGTGAAGTCCAGGATTTTTCCTTAATTCCTGGTATATCTTAACAAATCTTTGATGACAGTTATGATGTAGAGGTGTGAGATTTGTTAAGCTTTACCAGGAATTAAGGACAGATCCTGGACTTCACCTTACGAAGCAGACAAAGCAAATGTTATAGTAACTATGGACAAGGTAGATTTTAGTGGAAAATGATCATGTTATTAGAAGACGAGGGAACTTACATGCCCTTTATGGTGATGTTATCAGTCCGTCAACCTTGGAGATATGAGGGACTGACCATCTCAAGAAACCTGCTGTGTAGGCAAAATGTTTCAACAGTGAAGATAAGATACTTAACTGTCGCACATGTGTTTTAATTATATGTTAGTAATCAGTGGCTTGTGAGTTCTAGGTCTCGCCGCCGTGGGTTCAACCCCCACCCGTTCCCTGAGTTATTTTTTTGTGTGTGTATGTCTGAAATACTTGGCATACAAGGGACTTTCCTTAGATCATACAAATATTGTATTATTATAACTCTTCAGTTCACTGCAATACTCGCGTATATTCTGATAAAATAAAGGTTTGAGTGGGATGTTTAGGCGGCCTGGTCTCAGACCGGCTGCGGGGGCGTTGACCCCCGAAAATCTCTCCAGGTAAACCTCAGGTATACTCCAAGTATACTCCAGGTATTCCCAGTCATCAGTCTTATTGTAACTTAACCAATCGCCAGATCTCTTTACCTCTTCTGTACCTGTCAGTCATACGTTACTGTCTTATCTAACAGTCAGCAGTGATTCGTATATATATACTCCAGCTTCTTTATTGCCTCATCATGTCTGTCCCAGTTAGTAGGCGCCTCATAGATCAGTGCTAGTGCATCCAGATCACATCTGAAACCCGGTTCAATTCTGGGCGATTATTGACACATCAGTAAAAATTTAAATGCAACTGTTCTCTTTCATACTTAGTACATAAATACTCGTGTGTTAGTTGACTGAGGTTACTGCTTAATATAGGATCTCAGTTGCAATAACTACGCTGAGATATTCTATGTTATTGACATTATTAGGTTAATCTACAGCAGCCATGTGTATATTACAGCCTAACTTAGTGATTCTTGTACCCAGGTGCTTCATGCCCAGGAGCGAGGCGTCAAGGGCATAATCCTCTTCACGGACCCCAGTGATGTTGCCCAGGAGGGAGTGGAAGCACAGGATGTGTACCCTAACTCTTGGTGGCTCCCGGGGTCGGGCATGCAGAGAGGAAGCACCTACATGGGTGATGGGGACCCACTCACTCCTGGATGGCCCTCAACAGGTGGGTGACTGGTGCTCTGGGTGCGTTAAACACTCTCTGAACACAGCTCACTCATACCCTCATCCCACTTGTTCACACAACTCTCTTACTCTCATTTCCCCACCCACCTGATTGATCAAATAATCATCCGATGACTCGTTTAACTTTACTGGGTTACTATGGAAGACAGTTGTAAAAATGTTAACTTGTATAAGAAACCAGTATAAACTCACTCACAAATACACCGTAGCGATGTATCGGATATCCGCATCCGTGAAACATCCGCACAATTTCGTACATCCGCATCCGTGAAACATCCGCACAATTACTCACATCCGCATCCACAGATATCTAAATTTCCACAACCGATACATTTCTAATTACACTCAATATGTTGATAATCTTCCAGAAGTTACTTATCTGTATTTGTATCATTACCTATGCGTAACTGCAGGAAAAATGTTTATCAGTAGTGTTTACCATCACCAAGTATGATCTATGATAATTTCTATCAGTAATTATCAGCTATTTTTTCCTTCAACATTAAGCATGCATTAGCTATTATCGCAAAGATAATACTAAACGCCATGAGTAAACCTGTCTGAGATGCCCCTTGTGTACCTTACAGCTCAGGCCTACAGACTCAAGGTTGAAGATGCCCAGCTGCCAATGATTCCCTGTCAACCCATTGGCTACGACGATGCCCGTGTCATACTGGAGTGAGTAGTGGGTTAAGGAAGGTGGGTGGGGGTTGTGGATGGTGAGAATGGGTAGATTGTGGGAGATGGCTGACGGAATGGATGAAGAATAATGTAAAAATAATCACTGTTTACAAATCATTCACTGCCAAATATAATTGAGTCAATAATAAAGTATAATGAACACCACACTCACTATTCAAAATATCATGAAAATATTTCATATATAACAAAAACATAGGTCATATAGCAGTTTCGTAACCTTGGTCAGGTCACAGGTCATGGACCCCTCACAGCACACAGACCCAAACCTTCAACATAACCAATTACCTCCCATTTCACACACAAAAAGGCAATATTAACGCTGTTGTTTGTGACCTGCAGGAAGATTGGTGGCACTCCAGTCCCCAGTGATGACTGGAAGGGCGGCCTGACAGGTGTGGCCTACAACCTGGGTCCTGAGCTACAAGATCGCTACTCCAACTACACACTTAGACTCAACACCCACAATGTGCACCAGGTCCACCGTTCCTACAATGTTATTGGCACCATCAAGGGGAAAGTGGAGCCAGGTGAGTTAAGAGTGGAGGGAGAATGAGGAAAATAAGAGGAAAGGGGAAGAGAGAGAGGCACAGTGTGTTAAGTGTTGGGATCACCAACATAAACCCGAGAATTTGCTGTTTTTTGATTTACAATTAAAATAATTTGTAAGGAATTTATTGGCTTCGTTGTATTAATCTTTCTTCATTCTGATTCTTATAAATTTGCTATTTATTTTTATTTTGGGGAGAGGGGGCATACCACAAGGTGCCTTGACGTGTTGGGGCCGCCAGTGTTATAAGGAAAAGGACTCTGTGGTACCTACATTAAAATGTAGGAAAATTGTCGCGGGCACCAGCACTATCAAGAGAAACGTGTGTTGCTCCTCGTGTGTCTTATTTATCAATTTGCATCAACTTGCCGGTGTTGTAAGCCATCATTATGAGACTTGTGCTGCGCGACAACACCGTGCTATCTTGCTTAACATGACCTGCTTTCACTAGTGGGCCACACTCACCTGTAACATCACCTCCAGCTGCTACACTTCTGCTCCAGTATAAAAGATTCGATCGCATGCGTCTACTTTTGGCTAAAACATTGACCACCTCCTATCAAGGCTGAGGGACAGATTTACTACCTCTTAATTGCCTCCTTTACTCATGATACCCCGTGTTGCACACATGTCTTATTTTAGTATTACCGACTAGTTTTGACTTTCATTACGTGTTGGCACTGCCATTCACAGACCGCTATGTGTTGATTGGTAACCACCGTGATGCCTGGGGTTACGGTGCCTCTGACCCCTCCAGTGGCACTGCCCAGATGCTGGAGACTGCCCGTGTCTTGACCCAACTCATCAGTAGCACAGGTGAGTGCCCATCAGGTTCTTGACAGCCTTAGCTTATATTTTCAAAATTATCTTTAAACCTGTTGCTTATTTTAAGTAATTTTGGCTGTTCCAGTAATAATTTTGGCTGTTCCAGTAATAATTTTGGCTGTTCCAGTAATAATTCTACATTTCTGGTGTTTGTTTTTTCAGTTAGTTAACCATTTGAGCTCTGGAGAAATGTTCAACTTCACTTGAGCTCTTGAGAAATGTTCAACTTCACTTGAGCTCTTGAAAAATGTTCAACTCCACTTGAGCTCTGGAGAAGAGTTCAGCTCCACTTGAGCTCTGGAGAAGATTTCAACTCCACTTGAGCTCTGGAGAAGATTTCAACTCCACTTGAGCTCTGGAGAAGATTTCAACTCCACTTGAGCTCTGGAGAAGATTTCAACTCCACTTGAGCTCTGGAGAAGATTTCAACTCCACTTGAGCTCTGGAGAAGATTTCAACTCCACTTGAGCTCTGGAGAAGAGTTCAACTCCACTTGAGCTCTGGAGAAGAGTTCAACTCCAGTTGAGCTCTGGAGAAGAGTTCAACTCCAGTTGAGCTCTGGAGAAGAGTTCAACTCCAGTTGAGCTCTGGAGAAGAGTTCAACTCCAGTTGAGCTCTGGAGAAGAGTTCAACTAAAGTTGAGCTCTGGAGAAGAGTTCAACTCCAGTTGAGCTCTGGAGAAGAGTTCAACTCCAGTTGAGCTCTGGAGAAGAGTTCAACTCCAGTTGAGCTCTGGAGAAGAGTTCAACTCCACTTGAGCTCTGGAGAAGAGTTCAACTCCACTTGAGCTCTGGGGGTGAGCTTTACAATTCAAGCACTCAGGTACAATCTCCTGCCTTCAAAACTCTTCATAATCACTCAGGAAAGCCTTATCTGGTCGGTTTCAATTTTTTAGCCTTATTGACCTTAAAACCAGGGAAAGATCTGAGGAACTTAAAGATGAAACAAATTTAACGGCGAACCATTCATAAAATTTCTGTTATTTTCCCCTTCCTGAGGCTGGCGGCCACGCCGAACTCTCGTCTTCTGCAGTTGGGGAGCGGAGGAGTTCGGTCTTATTGGCTCCACGGAGTGGGTGGAGGTGAGAGATCCTCCACGTATTCCGCAGGACTGGATGACTACTTGAGAACCTTAATTTTTAAAGGGGTGGAGGGGTAAGCCAGTGGAAGGCCTCGGTCAGATGACCAAAAGCCCCAGCGGCAGGTCATCATATAACTAAGACCCGCGTCAGGAAACACTTGTACTGTTTCCTGACGAACGTTACCTAACTTAACCTTACTCTCTCAGTGAGAAAATATTTTTTTTTTTTTTGAGGGAGGAGAAAATCTAAAGAAAATTTAGCTCCTCATTTGGGAATATTCTTGGGAAAATATTTAGGAATACAGTAATTTATTCTGAAGATTTAAACCCACGTGCAACAGTTGGGTATTTTGAGCTCCTCTCCAGCCTGAGGGACCGACCACCTCAAATACTTTTTCTCCAAGGTTGAGGGACTGATTACCTCATCTTGATTTCACTACTACACCTGCTGCCTCTATGTGACTGAAGAAGCCTACTGTGTAGGCGAAACATTTCATCACTACAGAAACCCAACTGTTGCACATGTGTCCTAATCTTCGGTATTTCGGACCATAATCAACATAACAGTAATTTATTCTCCCAAAAATATTTAAGCAATGCTTGTCTAGTTTGGTTCTTTCTGCGCTACAAGGAATATAGATACAAAGACGTGCCTGTATACTGTAGTGATTACTAATTTGTTTTTCTAAGCTTGACACAAGGGAGTGTGTGTATACTGTACCAGTGTTCGTGCCATAGGGTCAGAGGTATACATATATACGTCATGTATACATACATGCTTATTCATAAAACAATGTGCATACACATTTAATGCATAATGCTAGCACTCACAGACAACACAAAGTGTACACTGCTCTCTTGTACTCTGCACAGCATACATGTATGCACGTTACAGAATATACACAAACTGTCCATATCAGCTGTCCATCACCAAGACAAGCTGTAACGGAGACGAAAACACTTTCAATAATCATGCGGACATCAATATTCAAATGACGCTCTGAAGTGCAACATCTCTACCCATCTTTCAGAGTACAGACACTGGACTTACCCCATCCAGAGTCTGGCTATCCGGTCCCCCTCCTTGCACTCCAGCGGCACGGCAAATCCCACTTGTATCCACACACTCCGATTTAGCAGACTCCCAAATGGGATGCTCAAATCCCGCCAACTTTTCCAGGGATGACCATCTATCCCTCCTTCCTTCCTTCCTGATATTTATACGCCTCTGTTAATAGTATGTATACTTGTGTAGTATGCATAATGATGTATACCTCATAATCATTATTCTGTAATCACGTGACCTCAGTTGTATGGGAGACACTAACTATCTATTTTTCGTCTAATCTATGCTATGGTTCGCCTCGTCTTTCTGCATCTTCCAAAGTCCATTCTCAGATATCTAAATACACTAACTTCCTCCATATTCCCTCAAAGACATCACATATATATGCATTAGGCAATTAGTTAGAGATGTGCCGGTACTTCCGGCCCGGGTCTTCTCCAGATGGTGACCCGTCGAATTAGGCAATATTTCAAAACAACAGGATCTCATTACAATGATACGTTATTATATTTTCTTTACTAACATTCTTTACCAGTTGATATTATATGAAAACATTTTGTGTTTTGAGGTGTTTCTTCACGTCCTAAATTATTTCTTGCTCTCAAGAACCCGAACATTTTTCCCCTCCCATAAAATATGAAGTATCGTAGACATGAAGATGATCATCTTAACATGGCCCCACATGTCTTAGATACAATATGATCTAGTATAATGAGTTAGTCACAATATCGTGGCTGGATTACACAAATAATCCCCATTTGTGAAAGAAAACTGCAGAAGACGCCCTGTGATTTGTTAATGGTACGACACTCGCAGAAACATTCGTATTTTTTAGGTAGCAGGTTATCAAGAGCAGGAAGGAGAACACCACGAAAAGTGGACAGGTCTGTCGTGGTGAACATGTTTTGTCCACTTCCTTCTCCCAGTTCCTCAAATTCAACTCTTTGCGCAGTCCCTTACCTGACACGCCGACCTCTTGCTTCAACAGCTCGTTCTTTCTACTAAGTCTCAAGTTCATGATGTTATCTTTAATCTCCGTCAACGTCAACGTTCTCTTCTCTCCCAAAAATCTCTGTAACCTTTCCACTACCATTGCTTTTGACACTGCTCTCTATATTCCCAAATTTATTCTTTTAAACTAGAGAACAAACTTTAACGTCTTATCTCAGGTAGCCCTTGTCCTTGATTCTCCCTTACTGACTCTGTTATTAATCTCTTTTTACACTATTCATTTATAGTTAGTTTCACCTCTAGGGTATTAGTTATGTTTTGTTTTTGTCTTGATATGATTCTGTATGTCTTAAGACGGCCGTCGGCGTTCCACAGGAACATGTGAACAAGCTACAGGAACGGGCGGTAATATACCTGAACACTGACACCTGCGCCTCAGGACCAATCATTCATATACCCAGCAGCCCTTTACTCTGGGATTCTATCACCTTAGTCATGAAGATGGTAAGCCTCTGCCTGCCTGCCTGCTTGTTTGTCTCCTTGTCTGTGTGCCTGCCAGCCTGTGTGTGTGTGTGTGTGTGTGTGTGTGTGTGTGTGTTTGACGTCTTCATCCTCTCTGTGTCTCACACTGATGCTTGTTTGTGTCCTTTACGACCCTTTCTACAAATTTCTCAACGGTAGTGTGTTTATGCAGTGTCACTCTTCTATTATCGTCATTATGTGTTTGCCCTTAACTGAATGTGAGATTGCATGTTTGTGTCTCTTCCTAGGTCTCCTCTCTACGAGTTTAACAACAATAGTGTGTTTGTACAGTATCATTTTCTGTTACTGTCATTGTTTGTGCGGAAAATGAAAGTGTATGTTTGTAATTTTAGGTGTAAAGTTGCACCTGTGGTATCCTGATTTCGATATTTAATCCACAGGTACCAATTGTTTTCAAAGTTTTCAGAGGCTGTAGTACTTATTGCTGTCTCTGTATATCACTCCATTGTTCTACCACAGTCCCGAGGCAACAGTGTTACCAGAGTCATGAGACAACAATGTTACCAGAGTCCTGAGACAACAATGTTACCAGAGTCCTGAGACAACAATGTTACCAGAGTTCTGAGACAACAATGTTACCAGAGTCCTGAGACAACAATGTTACCAGAGTCCTGAGACAACAATGTTACCAGAGTCCTGAGACAACAATGTTATCAGAGTCCTGAGACAACAATGTTACCAGAGTCCTGAGACAACAATATTATCAGAGTCCTGAGACAACAATGTTACCAGAGTCCTGAGACAACAATGTTATCAGGGTCCTGAGACAACAGTGTTATCAGAGTCCTGAGACAACAATGTTATCAGAGTCCTGAGACAACAATGTTACCAGAGTCCTGAGACAACAATGTTACCAGAGTCCTGAGACAACAATGTTACCAGAGTCCTGAGACAACAATGTTACCAGAGTCCTGAGACAACAATGTTACCAGAGTCCTGAGACAACAATGTTACCAGAGTCCTGAGACAACAATGTTATCAGAGTCCTGAGACAACAATGTTACCAGAGTCCTGAGACAACAATGTTATCAGGGTCCTGAGACAACAGTGTTATCAGAGTCCTGAGACAACAATGTTATCAGAGTCCTGAGACAACAATGTTACCAGAGTCCTGAGACAACAATGTTACCAGAGTCCTGAGATAATGTTACCAGAGTCCTGAGACAACAATGTTATCAGAGTCCTGAGACAACAGTGTTACCAGAGTCCTGAGACAACAATGTTACCAGAGTCCTGAGATAATGTTACCAGAGTCCTGAGACAACAATGTTATCAGAGACCTGAGACAACAATGTTATCAGAGTCCTGAGACAACAATGTTACCAGAGTCCTGAGACAACAATGTTACCAGAGTCCTGAGACAACAATGTTACCAGAGTCCTGAGACAACAATGTTATCAGAGTCCTGAGACAACAATGTTACCAGAGTCCTGAGACAACAATGTTACCAGAGTCCTGAGACAACAATGTTACCAGAGTCCTGAGACAACAATGTTATCAGAGTCCTGAGACAACAATGTTATCAGAGTCCTGACACAACAATGTTACCAGAGTCCTGAGACAACAATGTTACCAGAGTCCTGAGACAATGTTACCAGAGTCCTGAGACAGCAATCTTATCAAAGTCCTGAGACAACAGTGTTATCAGAGTCCTGAGACATCAATGTTATCAGAGCCCTGAGACAACAGTGTTACCAGAGTCCTGAGACAACAATGTTACCAGAGTCCTGAGACAACAATGTTACCAGAGTCCTGAGATAATGTTACCAGAGTCCTGAGACAACAATGTTATCAGAGACCTGAGACAACAGTGTTACCAGAGTCCTGAGACAACAATGTTATCAGAGTCCTGAGACAACAATGTTATCAGAGTCCTGACACAACAATGTTACCAGAGTCCTGAGACAACAATGTTACCAGAGTCCTGAGACAATGTTACCAGAGTCCTGAGACAGCAATCTTATCAGAGTCCTGAGACAACAGTGTTATCAGAGTCCTGAGACAACAGTGTTATCAGAGTCCTGAGACAACAGTGTTATCAGAGTCCTGAGACAACAATGTTACCAGAGTCCTGAGACAATGTTACCAGAGTCCTGAGACAGCAATCTTATCAGAGTCCTGAGACAACAGTGTTATCAGAGTCCTGAGACAACAATGTTATCAGAGTCCTGAGACAACAGTGTTATCAGAGTCCTGAGACAACAATGTTACCAGAGTCCTGAGACAACAATGTTATCAGAGTCCTGAGACATCAATGTTATCAGAGCCCTGAGACAACAGTGTTACCAGAGTCCTGAGACAACAATGTTACCAGAGTCCTGAGACAACAGTGTTATCAGAGTCCTGAGACAACAGTGTTATCAGAGTCCTGAGACAACAGTGTTATCAGAGTCCTGAGACAAGTGTTATCAGAGTCCTGAGACAACAATGTTACCAGAGTCCTGAGACAACAGTGTTATCAGAGTCCTGAGACAACAGTGTTATCAGAGTCCTGAGACAAGTGTTTATCAGAGTCCTGAGACAACAATGTTACCAGAGTCCTGAGACAACAGTGTTACCAGAGTCCTGAGACAACAGTGTTATCAGAGTCCTGAGACAAGTGTTATCAGAGTCCTGAGACAACAATGTTACCAGAGTCCTGAGACAACAGTGTTATCAGAGTCCTGAGACAACAGTGTTATCAGAGTCCTGAGACAACAATGTCATCAGAGTCCTGAGACAACGGTGTTATCAGAGTCATGAGACAACAATGTTATAAGAGTCCTGAGACAACAATGTTACCAGAGTCCTGAGACAACAATGTTATCAGAGTCATGAGACAACAATGTTATCAGAGTCCTGAGACAACAGTGTTATCAGAGTCCTGAGAAAAATGTTATCAGAGTCCTGAGACAACAGTGTTATCAGAGTCCTGAGACAACAGTGTTATCAGAGTCCTGAGACAACAGTGTTATCAGAGTCCTGAGACAACAGTGTTATCAGAGTCCTGAGACAACAGTGTTATCAGAGTCCTGAGACAACAGTGTTATCAGAGTCCTGAGACAACAGTGTTATCAGAGTCCTGAGAAAAATGTTATCAGAGTCCTGAGACAACAGTGTTATCAGAGTCCTGAGACAACAGTGTTATCAGAGTCCTGAGACAACAGTGTTATCAGAGTCCTGAGACAACAGTGTTATCAGAGTCCTGAGACAACAGTGTTATCAGAGTCCTGAAACAACAATGTTATCAGAGTCCTGAGACAACAATGTTATCAGAGTCCTGAGACAACAGTGTTATCAGAGTCCTGAGACAACAATGTTATCAGAGTCCTGAGACAACAGTGTTATCAGAGTCCTGAGACAACAGTGTTATCAGAGTCCTGAGACAACAATGTTACCAGAGTCCTGAGACAACGGTGTTATCAGAGTCCTGAGACAATGGTGTTATCAGAGTCCTGAGACAACAGTGTTATCAGAGTCCTGAGACAACAGTGTTATCAGAGTCCTGAGACAACAATGTTACCAGAGTCCTGAGACAACAATGTTAACAGAGTCCTGAGACAACAATGATACCAGAGTCCTGAGACAATGTTACCAGAGTCCTGAGACAACAATGTTACCAGAGTCCTGAGACAACAATGTTACCAGAGTCCTGAGACAACGATATTACCAGAGTCCTGAGACAACAATGTTACCAGAGTCCTGAGACAACAATGTTAACAGAGTCCTGAGACAACAATGTTAACAGAGTCCTGAGACAATGTTACCAGAGTCCTGAGACAACAATGTTACCAGAGTCCTGAGACAACAATGTTACCAGAGTCCTGAGACAACAATGTTACCAGAGTCGTGAGGCAACAATGTTACCAGAGTCGTGAGGCAACAATGTTACCAGAGTCGTGAGGCAGCAGTGTTACCATTTGCATTAAAATATTCATACCATGTTTCAGTCGCACTCACACACCTTGTGAGGTTGACACAGGTGTTTCTGGGTGAAATTTCTCTTCCACACAATACCTGGGAACTCTGAACTTATCACTTTTGATCCAAGGAAGCTGAGACTACCTCCAATTCATGACACTATAGCACATCGGTGTTTTTTTTCCTGGCATTACTCTCGGCTTGGTTTTGGCACTGGTGTCGCATTTTTGAACCGGCACTTTTGATTCAGCCTTAAGTCTCTCGTGGCACTGTAGCGATGCACTCGTGGCTTAAATCTGGCCCAGTTTTATGCCACTGTGTATAATTATTGTAATTTCAGGATGGCATTCTTACAGGTGCCAGGGGTTCGTGACGGTGCCACGTTATACCATGAGTGGGAGGCTCATAATGTCGCCCTGAATCGTACACCATCAAAGTGAGTTAAGAGACATTGGGAAAGGTGAAAGTAAATGAGGGGGGAAAGTGTAAGAAAGGTAATGAGAAATAGAATATGGGAAATAATTACAAAGTGGGAAAGGGATAGGGATTTGGGGGAAATAGAGAAAGTGAAGGATAAGAAAAGAAGTGGGATATAACCAAACGGAAAGAGAACAAGGTGAAAATTAGGCAAGTGGAGTAAAAATGTCTTGTGAGAAAGAAGGAGTGTCGAAAACAGGAGATGGGAAAGAATAGATGAGGTTAGACAGGTATAATAATGATAACAAGAAGCACAGAAAAAGTCTAAAATAGTACAAGAACTTGATTATTAAATGACAGTAGAGCAGTAAAATACAATAAATATTATTGGTGCATATAATTATGCAAGAATTACTATTTATCAAATATTATTATTATTTATTTATTATTATTGTTGTGAGGAAGCACAAAACCTGTAGGGATCATGAAGTGCCTGAAGCATAGCATCTGTATAAACTGAAACATAACCGGTAGATGGCAGTAAGGTATTATCATCAGTAAATGTGACACAATGTAAACAAAGACTAACTTGCGCTTCCAGAATCTTCACTCTGGGTTCAGGAAGTGACTACGATGCATTTTCCTTCTACTGCGCCATCCCATCTGTGGACTTGACTTTTCAGAGAGACAGGGTAAGCAAACAAAAATACAATTTCCTGCTTTGTATTGTGGCTGTACACAATGACATAGCCGGGATTTCAAAGTAATATGTCAAAAAAAAAAAAGGTTTTTGAAACAATATGATTGTCAATATGCATGTGAGAATTCCTACACTGTCTTGCTTTTGTGGTCACTGGTCAATATAAATGGTGAAATTTGCCATTAATTGAAAAAATATGAAAGTTTGCATATAGGGGAGGGTGTTGGCAGAACTATTAACCCCATTCCCCTGGTGGCTGTCTCACTGGTTGCATAAATTATACGTCAAGTGTTGTTTACAGACATACCTTGACGTAGTCATTTTTATTTCATGCACAAGCGCGCTAAATCTAAATGGGTCATAGATTGCAAAGCTGCTACGAGGACCCCAGTGAACATAAACCACTATGACTTTTTGAGGGGTTTATCCGGTGCCCAGGTAAACTTACACCAAGTTTTATTTCTCTCTGTGTACCAGAGCAAGTACGACATCATTAAATACCCCTACTACCACACTGGCTACGATACCTTTTACATGATGGATAAGCATGTTGACCCAGGATTCAGGATTCATCAAGGATGTGGTAGGATAGCATCCCTCCTACTCAAGTACTTCGCAGACTCTCTCATCGTTCCATACAGCCTGCAGCACCTGCCGGAGGCCATGAAGGATGCCCTTGACACCTTCAGGAAGAGTGGCAAGCGAGACAAGATTATTAACATATATGAGAATTATGGTAAGTAAAATGCTGCCTACCGTTTGTTTGAATTATTAATTATATTCATGAGGTGCTAAACCCATGGAGGCCATACGGTGCTTGGGGACCGGGAGGTAATATCTTTATTTCTACCAGTACATGTACAAAGTATACAGACCATAGCTGACATCAGTGACATACTACTATATAGAAAGTAGCTTGTTATGCTGAGCATTTCCCGTAATTTAGGTCAGTTTTGTCCCCATTTTTCACTGATAGGTGAACATAGACAACCGGTGTAAGGAAACGCCAAATTTTTCAACCCCCGCCGGGAATAGAACCCGGACCCCTCACCGTGGGAAGCCAGAGCGTTTGCCGCCTGGCCACGGGTCACCGTACTTTCCCGAAATGTTTCGCATAACTATAGGCTTTCTGCATGCACAACTAAATGTCACCCATCTCTGTACAGGCATTGTATCATGCTGAAATACAATATTTTTATTCTTATTATTATATATTCAGTGGTAGAGTAGGCAGTGAGTCTTGCTGGGGTTATGGTGTCTCCTAGGAGAGTGGCCTGATAGACTGGATGTCCTTGGTAAGTGATCTAGCAAACAGATGCCACCCCACACTAGCACCGCCGAGAACCACTGATTTCAGACTCAGACCTCGTTTAGAAAATCACTATGCAGTACAAATGTTGAAGTCCATTGCTTTATTCTGATTTCTCTTTTCTCTGTTATATGCAGTCATGTCATTTTCCAGTTCTTTTGGAGGCGTCTTTGGCAAAGTTTGCCGATGCAGTTACGTCCTTCCAGAGACAACTGGAGATGAGGGCAACGAACTTAGAGTGAGTGATCTTTTTCATTTTTAAAACAAGAACAGATATATAATGTGTAGCAGTCCTGCTTTATATTCTACCACGCTAAATTATTTTTACTAGCGAGGTAGTGAAATTAGTCAGCCTGAGCTGGGAGACTTCAGTAGGAGATGAGAATATCAGGTAGCCCAGTATGGATACTGAAAAGGAGTAGGGAGAAAATGGTTGTTGAAGGCAGGGCAATCTAGGAAAAAGGGAGAAAGGGACTTTTTAGTATAATGGGTAGTTTACTGGATGAAAGAAGTGTGTAAGAACCAGTTTAGAGAAGCAGACAACTAGTAATGGGTGATTGTTACTAAATTCAGGAAGGGAAGAATGAGTCGTCATGGGGCATGGGGAGTATGGGCGAGATATTGTTTATATATCCTCTCCCCATTATAATATTGTAAATCCATTTTATCTTTCAGCTCTTGAGAGGTATAAATGAAGCCTTCCACTTCTCGTAAATCAGTTTAAAACAGTGAGGAGGGGAAAGTACTGTATTAGGAAGAACAGATACGAATGTGACTCACGAAATCGTAATGACACGATTGCAAACAAACCATACCAGGGACGGGGATAGAACCCGCGGTCAGAGAGTCTCAAAACTCCAGACCGTCGCGTTAGCCATTGGACCAGCTAGCCACAACAAGATTCATCCAACTAGGTATATTTCTACACCATAGGAAGGTTAGCATAGGCACCATTGTGACCACAAATGCTACGGTCTGGAGTTTTGAGACTGTGATCGCGGGTTCTATCCCCGTCCGTGGTATGGTTTAGATACGAATGTATTTGTTTATTCAGGGAAATATCAACTGGCACTATTTTTCAATATTTAGTATCAGTGGTGCCAGGCTTGTGGAGATAGAGCCAACAAGACTAGCATCTCAAGAGACGTATTATACCTGGAGTATACCTGGAGTGGACTTCGGGGGTCAACGCCCCCCGCGGCTCGGTCTGTGACCAGGCGAGACGTTAAGTAAAAGGACTCAAGTGCAAATAATTCGACATTTTATTGTGGCAACGTTTCGCTCTCCAGGAGCTGTCAAAGCGAAACGTTGCCACAATGAAATGTCGTATTAGTTACACTTGTGTCCTGTTGCTTAACATATTGTCTGTAATTCTACCAACATTAACGAGTTGTCGATAAATATTTCCTTTATAAATTACAATAATTAAAACCTTATAACTGACTCAAAGTATTGTACCTTTGTTTTGTATATATGAACTGAGTAGAGTAATTCTTCTGTAAATTCTTAAATATCTGTATTTAGCACTGTGTCGACGGCACCAGTGACCTGGTCAGAATACAAAGATAACCTACAGCGACTGTATCCAGATATGAACATGTAAATAGTTCGGTACCATTGTTCAGCTATCTTAACTTTGGGGCCCAGTCCCTGGAGCCATTATGTACCTCTGTAATCTTTTGACTACCACTTACAGGATGGCTAAGGGGTACATGGTAAAGATATTAAATTACGTAACCTGCAGTAGGTGCAGGTTACTTAGTTGGATCACCTGTTGGAGGTGCTGTTGGCACCTGTTGGATAGCTGTTGGAGTACCTGCAGCAGGTGCTTCAACAGCTATCATCTTTCTTGATTACAGTCCTGTCAGCATCCGAGCCATCAATGACCAGATGATGAAGCTGGAGCAGGTCTTCATTCTGCCAGCAGGTCTGCCAGGTCGACCAACTGTCAGGTAGGTGCATCAAATGATATTCATATTTACCTTTTATTGTCAAGAGTACTTAGTGTTCTCAGATCAAAACATTCTTCAAATCGGTACTCTACAGAATAAAAATCCCCCACATTACACTCTCGTCCCAGACAAAAGAAAAACTAATTCCCTGAGAGTAAAAAGCATTCTCAAAAGCTGTCTATATTCCAAAAATCTAATAAAGCAAGGTTAAAATATCCTTCAAAATTTACAAAAAAAAAGGCCAGTCCCTAAGACCTTCATAGGCATTCTGCATTAATGAAATCTCCGACTCAAAAAGCCAAAGTTTCAGTAGATCCCCCCACACAAATACCACAGGTGAGGTAGGATAGACTCATTAGAGACTCGTACAGAGAATGTTACATAGATAACCCGCACATAGGATACAGAGACGCTCATGACGGCGTTGCGATCAGACTTGGGCCATTTAGTGATTTGTGAAAGGTCCAAGATGGACCTATGTGCGGGTTACTTGTATATTGTTCCAGTCACGGTGTTGTGCCTTTATTTTCTTTACAGTGAATGTTGTTTGAGACACAGTGACGTATCTTAATAAGATGACTACTGTTCTGAGTACAGTGTAATAAGACGTGTGTGGGAGACTACGATGTTTGGAAACAGATCAAAATAAAAGAAAATAGATTTAAGTTATTGTTAAGATGTGATATAGAGAAAAACAATCCTGTTTATATATAAAAAAGGGGTTTTTTGCCTTTTTCTTAAGCCAAGCCTTATACCAAGTGTTGGTAGAAAAAAAAATAGGAAAGGAAAACGTTAATTTTATGATGTTTGACCCACAGTGGACAAAATGTCATTAAATATTTCCCTGCTTACAGTGTCCTTGAATTACCACTTGTGTGGATGATTAACTCCATTTCTATACCTCTATAAAAATTAATAGGTAATAATTGAATGTTTTCAGACACGCAGTTTTCGCCTCGAGTCAATTTGACAACTACGCCCCGTCAGGGTTCCCTGGAATTTCCGATCTTTTGTACAGAATAGAAGAGTTGGACGCTGCTGAGCGCCTTAAGAAAGAAGAGGAGATCAAGAAGCACATCTCTGATCTTACTATTATGACGGAGAGAGCCGCCAGCTTCTTACAGGACTTCCACTTGATCTAAGAGGATATTTTATCACCATCTTGTATTCTGAAGCAAAATACGAGCATCGTGTAGCTGAACTGTCAGTAACGCAAGGGTCACAAATTTTATTTTTGAATTCAGGGCTGTGTATTCCAGAGGACTTGCAAGAATGGTATACAGTACCGACAGTATAAAGAATTAGACACATGTGCTACATCTGGGTATGGTTGTAGACGCTTCGCCAACCAGTGCCTTTATCAATACAAGGATATAATGTGAAGACTGTAGAATTATATATAAAACATGAGGTAATCAGTCCCTCAGTCCTTGGCTGAGGGACTGATTACCTCTGGTGGAGGATTCATCTGTAAAAACTTGCATTTGTAGTTGCGGTGGTGGCCCATGTTAACCTTATTATAGCCAGCTGGCCTAGTGGTTTACGCACTGGCCTGGAGTTTCACCACTCACTTGACATGAGTTCTATCCCCCACCCGTACCGTGATTTATCCTTTATTTAGTTTACTCTGCGTTAACAGTGAAGTCATAAGTAGTAAAATATCATTTAATAAATGTTCTAAACTATACACGACGTGTTATTCACCAAACTATATATTTACAAGCAAAAGGTTAACCCACTGAGATCATTATAATGTTTCATTATAATGTTTCATTATAATGTTTCATTATAATGTTTCGTTATATTGTTTCATTATAATGTTTCATTATAACGTTTCGTTATAACGTTTCATTATAATGTTTCATTATAACGTTTCGTTATAACGTTTCATTATAATGTTTCATTATAACGTTTCATTATAATGTTTCATTATAATGTTTCATTATAATGTTTCATTATAACGTTTCGTTATAACGTTTCGTTATAACGTTTCATTATAATGTTTCATTATAATGTTTCATTATAACGTTTCGTTATATTGTTTCATTATAATGTTTCATTATAACGTTTCGTTATAACGTTTCATTATAATGTTTCATTATAATGTTTCATTATAACGTTTCGTTATATTGTTTCATTATAATGGTTCATTATAACGTTTCGTTATATTGTTTCATTATAATGTTTCATTATAATGTTTCATTATAACGTTTCGTTATATTGTTTCATTATAATGTTTCATTATAACGTTTCGTTATATTGTTTCATTATAATGTTTCATTATAATGTTTCATTATAACGTTTCGTTATATTGTTTCATTATAATGTTTCATTATAACGTTTCGTTATATTGTTTCATTATAATGTTTCATTATAATGTTTCATTATAACGTTTCGTTATAACGTTTCATTATAATGTTTCATTATAATGTTTCATTATAACGTTTCGTTATATTGTTTCATTATAATGTTTCATTATAATGTTTCATTATAACGTTTCGTTATAACGTTTCATTATAATGTTTCATTATAATGTTTCATTATAACGTTTCGTTATAACGTTTCATTATAATGTTTCATTATAATGTTTCATTATAACGTTTCGTTATATTGTTTCATTATAATGTTTCATTATACTCACCATTCCTGGAGTATACCTGAAGAGGGTTTCGGGGATCAACGCCCCCCCGTAGCCCGGTCTGTGACCAGGCCTCATGGTGGATCAGAGCTTGATCATCCAGGTTGTTACTGTTGGACTGGGAGGTAGTCAAAACATTGCCGAGGTACGTATTGGGTCCAGGGGACTGGACTCCAGAGTTTTGAGAGCAAAAATAGTCAAAGAAGAAAAAAGGAGAGAGGGAGGATTTATTGTTTGGAAGGTGAATCTCCCTCAAAGCCTCTTGGGGTTACTTCCCTTCTTTATCTTTTATTGCCACTAGGACCAGCTTGAGTCATTGCACACCTGTCGCACTAAATATCTGTCCAGAGAGTTCTGTTTCAGGCGTCTCTGTAAAACTTTCCTAAAATGGGACAAGACATTGTCATTGAACATGTTGCAGACACGGGTTGCAACAGTTTTGTTAGGGTGATAATTCTCCAAAAAAGCTTGCGCCCTACTTCACATTGCACAAATTTCCTTAATCTCTGAAGAAGGCACATTCTTCCCCCTCTCCTCTTCCTCTGAAGCAATATCCTCAGCTGCAGTCTGTTGCTGTTCAGTTGAAGGTGTTGCAGCTTTTCAGTGGTTAGCTCTTCTCTGTGGTCCTCCACCAACTCTTCAACATCCTGGCCACTCACATCCAACCCCATGGACTTCCCTAATATCACAATAGATTCCACAACAGGCGTAGGGTCAACAGGGTCAGTCTCAACCCCTTCAAAATTCTTGTCGAGGACACATTCTGGCTACAATTTTCTCCAAGCAGAGTTCAAAGTCCAGGAAGTCACTCCCTGCCAAGCCTTATCTATAAGGCTTATGCAGTGGAGGATATTGATGTGATCTTTCCAGAACTCTCTTAGGGTCAATTCAGTGTCCGAGGTCACTTCAAAGCACCTTTGAAACATTACTTTGGTGTGCAGTTTTTTGAAGTTTGAAATGACCTGCTGGCCCATGGGCTGGATGAGAGGAGTGGTATTAGGGGGCAAGAACTTCACTGTGATGAACTTACACTCCTCAAACAACTGGTCTTCCAAGTCTGGAGAATGAGCAGGAGCATTGTCCATTACCAGGAGGCACTTGAGTGGCAAGTTATTTTCTAGGAGGTATTTTTTCACACTCGGTCCAAACACTTCATTGACCCACTCAGTGAAAATTAGCTTAGTGACCCATGCCTTATTGTTAACCCTCTACGTCACACACAATTTACACTTCATGACATTGTTTTTCTTGAACACTCTGGGATTTTCAGAGTGATACACCAGTAAAGGCTTCACTTTGCAATCCCTACTAACATTACCACAGAACATGAGAGTTAGCCTGTCTTTCATAGGCTTGTGTCCTAGCAGTGCCTTTCCCTCCTGCGTGATGTAGGTCCTCTTTGGCATTTTCTTCCAGAAGAGGCCTGTTTTGTCACAACTGAACACTTGTTGGGGGTGGAATCCTTCATCCTCTACATACCCCTTGAATTCATGCACGAATTTTTCAGCTGCAGGTTTGTCTGAACTTGCAGCCTCGCCACGCCTTACAACACTGTGTATGCCACTACGCTTCTTAAATCTCTCAAACCAGCCTTTGCTGGCTTTAAATTCACTAACAGCAGCACTCGTTCCAGACACTTTATTCACGAAATCGGCAAGCAACTGCCTTGCCTTCTCGCAAATTATTCCCTCCAAAACACTATATCTCATCAACTGTTTCTCGTTCACCCACACCAACAACAACTTCTCCACATCTTCTATTGTTTGTGATCTCTGTTTCGTTAGCATATTCATCCCTTTCACAACTTTAGCTTCCTTGGTTTCTGCTTTATTTGCCAGGATGGAACATCCTGGAGAGCTCAGCTACAAGTACATCACTTTCATATTTTCCCACAAGTTCTTTCTTGAATTCTATCGTGTTTCTCACTTTCTTTACCGAAGGGCTGGCACCCTGAACTTTCTTTGGCCCCATGGAGGCTTATTTCAGTCACAATCAATAAACAAGCACCAAAATGAGCGAGAGACAGACGCAGACTGAGTGTGATACGTGTGAGGAAGTGACGTCGCCGACTGGGTGGACGCATCTCAAACACTCGATTTCCGAGCGGATGGTCGAAATCCGGGACGAAATTTTGCTGAAAAAAGTTCTCTAAATTCGAATTACTCGATTTCCGGAATGCTCGAAAACCGAGGGTCCACTGTAGTTGGTAAGGTGGCATTTAGATTATGTTGCCTCTGTTATGCGTCTCCATTATATAAAGTGGACATTAATGCGATGGAAAAAATGCAGAGAATAACTGCCAAGTTACCAGGAACTTCTTCAATGAGAAGAACTTGACTTATATGGGTCAGTAGGCCTATTGTCGTGTTCCTCCACTCCCTTATGAAGACCGAATGTGCACTCTGGGAAGGAGCAGCTCCCTACCTACCTGGAGTCTACCTGGAGGGTATTCCGGGGATCAACGCCCCCGCGGTCCGGTTCACGACCAGGCCTCCCGGTGGATCAGGGCCTGATCAACGAGGCTGTTACTACTGGCCGCACACAGTCCAAAATGCGAACCACGGCCCGGCTGATCCGGCACTGACTTTAGGTATCTGTCCAGCTCCCTCTTGAAGACAACCAGGGGTCTATTGGCAATGCCCCTTATGGCTGGTGGGAGGCTGTTGAACAGTCTTGGGCCCCGGATACTTATTATGTTTTAGTGTACTAATGGTGCCCCTACTTTTCACTGGGGTATGTTGTATCGCCTGCCAAGTCTTTTGCTTTCGTAGGGAGTGATTTCCGTGTGCAGATTAGGGACCAGTCCCTCCAGAATCTTTCAGAATCTTCCCTAGTACCATGTAGGTAGAGAGTGACGTGTGACACATGGTGACCTGAAGAATGCCATATTGGGATGAGGTCAGGTAGACGATGTGATCAACTGATCATGTGGCTCCTGTGTTGATAAGACAGATGTGCAACAATTAGGTATCTTTATTTCGAAACGTTTCGCCTACACAGTAGGCTTCTTCAGTCGAGTACAGAAGAGTTAGCAGAAACAGAAGAGATATGAAGACGAAGATTACAGATGGTCAGTCCCTGAGTCTTGTCAACCTGTCAGTATTGTATACCTTTTTCATATTCGACTCCTGTATTGTTGGGTGGGTGATGCTTTGCCTTTTTGAGTATCATGTATGCTAATGTTTATGAAATTTTGTACTTTCCAGTATTATAATCAAAGTCCATGGACCGAAACATTTTTCTAATAAATATCCTAGTGCTAATCATCTGTATTTTCTTCTATATAAGTATTGTCCTCGGCGGCAGAGCTTTTTAGCATGACTCGGGAAAACGTCATAACACAGTTGTAAACAAACCATGGCATGGATATAAACCTATGAATTTTATATGTACCAGTGATTTATCTTCGTTGAACACCTTGTGGCAATAAATTCAGAATTCTCTTATCTGCTCGCATGTGTCATTTCAAAAAAAATTGTGTGATTTTTTTTTCTTTTTGTATTACTGTGGAGAAAAATCTCATTTGTGGGAGGCTGGCCAGATGACAGTGGCAACTGGCAGCCCTTGGGTGACTAGCAACTAGTTTTCAGTGTTCTGCAAGACGTTTAAGAGGTTCGTTGTTGTGGCGGCTCTTCTCTACCCACCCTCGCCTCTCCATCTTAATCTTCATGGACACACACAAGTGACGGCTTCGTCTGAATTCTTGTACCACAGTTCGGATTAAAGGTAAATCTATAATTTTATTTTTTTATATGAGAGTTTGACTCTTCGGTTGAACTTTCCGAGTGAGGGAAGGAGGTCCTTGATGCTGGAAGAAATGGCTCTTGATGTCGGTGAAAAAGGGACTACGATGCCGATGAAAAGGTACCTCGGTGGCGGTGAAAAGGGGCTCTTGATGCCGGTGAAGGTCTCTTGATGCAAAAAATTGAAGCTACCCTTCCTTCACCATGATCACCCCTGCCATCACCCAGGCCTGGGTTCTGACACAGGTCACCTTGGTCACCCCTGTTTAATCTGCCATCACCTAGACCTGGGTTCTGACACAGGTCACACCAGCAAATAATCTAGAGAACAGTGAAGAGCTTAGCACAAAATATAATTCTATTGCTTGTAATATTAACTGGAACTGCGATAATAAGGATGATGCAGTTAATGTCCCAGATTATCGTTCTACAGATTATAATGGCATGCAGCGTTTGTTTACGGGGGTTACCTGCCTACTGAAGCTAATTATGCACATCTTATTTCACCGATAACCTATTTAGTTTCTTCCCATATTAACGTAGCATCCTAACTGCACCTCTCTTTTACTGTTTTGTACTCGACATAGTACTCTAACCTACGATAGTAAAACAGTATTGAAGTTAATGGCTTATGCCATTAACTCCAGTATTATGCCCAATCCTTCTCAAGAAGAATTAGCCACATGTACAACATCTGGGTATCTTTATTATAGACATAACGCCGTCCAGTGCCTTTATCAACAAGAAATCAGGGACATAATGTGAACGTAGAACCGTATACAGTATTATTATAATCAAGGGGGAAGCGCGAAACCCGGAGGATTATACAGCGCCTGGGGGGGATGTTTATCTGGAGTTTATCTGGAGAGAGTTCCGGAGGTCAACGCCCCCGCGGCCCGGTCTGTGACCAGGCCTCCTTAGGTCAGTGTCCCAGGATGCGACCCACACCAGTCGACTAACACCCAGGTACCCATTTTACTGATGGGGAACATAGACAACAGGTGGAAAGAAACACGTCCAATGTTTCTACTCTGGCTGGGAATCGAACCCAGGCCCTCACCGTGTGAAGCGAGAGCGTTAACCACCAGGCCACCAGAGCCCTGGTGGAAGGCATTCAGGCTTAACTCGGGGAACTGGAGCACAGATCCAATTCCCTAAATCAAGAGCCCCTCACCAACATCAAGGAACCTTCCTTGAGGGGAGAACAGTATACAAAAAAAAAAAATGGGGTTGACAGTCAGCCTCGGCTGAGGGGGTTGATTACCTCTTCTTTTGTGTATAGTTCAACTGTCTTCCAAGTATGTCCTCGAATTTGACGTCGAGACGTCAACAAATGAAGATGTCCAGATGTTGATCATGTGTCTTTAATTTTTTTCATCTTGTTGCTGTTGTGTACCATAAATGTACAACTTTTCACTCTTGTTAGAGAAAAGTCGAGTTCCCTTGAAACGTTTTGACCAGTTTACGGATAATGAAAAATAACAAAAAGGCACAGTACCGTGACTGGAGCAATACACAAATAACCCGCACATAGCAGGGAGGAGCTTATGACGACGTTTCGGTCCGACTTGGACCATTTACAAAGTCACATCAACTTTGTAAATGGTCCAAGACTGACCGAAACGCCGTAATCAGCTTCTGTCTTCCATGTGAGGGTTATTTGTGTAATGTAAAAGAAATGTGTCAGATTTTTAAGATCTATTTCCTCTCGATATTTACACAATACACTAATTACAATAGCAAATTATATACTATCAGCCACTAGAGACATGGTTATTAAACATTAGGATTGACTGAAACAAGTCCCCAGGTCTAGACCAAGTGTTTCCAAGGCTTCTTGTCCCATCAAGGGAGGCTCCTTGACGCAGGTGAAGGGCTCTTGATCTTGGGAATTGAACCTGAACACCTTCCACCCCCCCCCTACGTGCACTGTATAATCTTACGGGTTTAGCTCTTCCCATAATAATAATAATAATTATTATTAAGATCATTAATATAAGTATATGATAGAACTTACACAGACCATAGCTGACATCAGTTACGTGCTATATAGAAAGGCTTGGTTATGCAGAGTATTTCGGGCGAATTTAGGTTAAATGAAAGTCCCTCCATATTATTGCCCAGTTTGCCTGACGTTAATAGAGGCAAAAACTGTTAGAATCCTTAAAAATAGATATATCCAGAAGCCACAAATAACCTGCACACAGTCGGCCATTTTGGTCCGCCATGGGTCACTAAATAGTAGCAGTATTACACCTTATTATTCATTATAGAAGCCAGAATCTTCACTGAGGCATCTTTATTGATGAAACCTTTCACCTGAGCAGCAGGCTTCATCAGTCTAAAACAGAGGTGTTTACAATAGTGGAGAGGCAGCTGGGGGTGATCAGTCCCTAAGCCTATAAGAGATCAGATTCGATTCGAGAAAGAATTAATACTAAATTTCATGCTTATCATTAATGATAACCATAATTTTTAATTGGTGGAAGGGTAAGCCAGTGGAAAGTCTCGGTCAGATGACCAAAAGCTCCAGCTGCGGGTTATCATATGACTAAGACCCGCGTCGGGAAACACTTGTCCTGTTTCCTGACAAACTTGACCTAATCTTCAAGAAGGAGAAGGACAGGTCAAATTCCCTGCATCAAGAACCCATTCACCATCAAGAACCCCTTCACCATCAAGAACCCCTTCACCATCAAGAACCCCTTCACCATCAAGAACCCCTTCACCATCAAGAACCCCTTCAGTATCAAGAACCCCTTCACCATCAAGAACCCCTTCACTATCAAGAACCCCTTCACCATCAAGAACCCTTCACCATCAAGAACCCTTTCACCATCAATAACCCCTTCACCATCAAGAACCAATTCACCATCAAGAACCCCTTCACCATCAAGAACCCCTTCACCATCAAGAACCCCTTCACCATCAAGAACCCCTTCACTATCAGGAACCCCTTCACCATCATGAGCCCCCTCACCATCAAGCCCCCTGGTAATCAAGAGCACCTCACCATCAACAGTCCCTCATCAACAGCCCCTCACCATCAAGAGACCCCGTCACCATCATACATCTCACTCCAACGCTATAATTATTTTACGTTATTTTCTCTCCTGACAGATGGCTTCCCAAAACATGGTAGCGACAGTTGTGGCTGCGGCAGTCAGCCTCCTGGTTGGTGGCATCATAGGTCACCTTGGCACTGGCACTGACACCATCTCCAGCAGTGACAAGGAGAAGATCAGGTCAGTATAGGTTTGTAAGATCACTTCACCTAGGTATTCTATTGGAAGAATTAGACACATGACAACATCTGGGTATCTTTATCTGTAGACGTTTCGCCCTCCAGTGGCTTTATCAGTACAATACAAGGACATAATGTGAAGAAATATATACAAAAGATGAGGTAATCAGTCCCTCAGCATCATAGTCTTGTAGACTACATCGTAGTCTTAAGACTACAATGCTTCTCAACTCCAAGGCTGAGGGACTGATTACCTCATCTTTTGTATACAGTCCTACAGTCTTCACATTACGTCCTAATATTGTATTGATAAAGCCACTGGATGGCGAAACGTCTACAATACTGCACATGTGTCAAATTCTTCATCTTGTGGGTATCGCGTACCATACATGTACAAGTACTGTGTTTATTGTGTTTGTCTCCGAGTTAAGTTCCACACAACTGGCTGTGCACTCCAGTAGGATTAGCATAGAGGTGAAACTTAATGGACTGTGTCCCAGCATGAACAATTACCACGAAGCTTTAGCAAGAGTTATACAGGAGAAGGCTGTAGCATTATAGATTTGATTTACGCTGTACAACTCGTTAATTATTTGTGTACCACTGAGTCTTGGACCCCGATCATTACCTCTATAATGATAATGATTCTTATTTTTATCACCTATTCTCTATATACAGTATGCAATAAGATCACAATAAACAGGTGATATCACAATATGCGGATTAACCACTGAAAAAAAAAGTGAAATTCCAAGCGTTTTCGTGATTTCTCACATTATCGAGGAACTATGCATTATATACTTTCCTGTTACCATTTATCCGAATTATATACGCAAATGTGGAAAATACTGTATATATTTTCCAGAAATTCAGTATTTATATGTAAATAGATGGCCATACTGTATTTAATATTTATGTCATAGAAAACGGAAAGTCTGCGTCTGCGCAGACGAGACTCGCCATCTTGGTTTTGAATTTTGTATTAGAAACGCTGGTGAATGGGGAAGAATTTTTCGTGCTCTAGAGGTTAAAATTGTGCTGACACCTCTCAAATAGGAGGCGAAATTGGTGGATATGCATTCCTGCATAACTTGAGATATCAGACGACTGGACAAGACAGCTCCAGGAACCTCAGATAAGCTCTCTAGATTTGTGTGTAATTTTGGCCAGCATTATTTTCATAGATTTAGTTAGAGTGAGGTTTTCTGAGTATGATATACATTAATCTCCAGTCAAATTGGTGAGTGATATTAAGATATATTTTCCTTCTGTTATGTAATTGTGTATATATATAACCATTTATTATTTTTAATATACAGTCCACAAATTTATATATTTACCAGTATTACTGGTGTATGTATATTTCATTTAATTAATAGGTCCAGAGCAACTTGTGGTTATGACAGTGGTAGGTATCGAAGGGGGACATTTTTTGCGACCTAGGTGTCCCAAATTCCTACTTGTCTATGTAACATTGATAAATAATAATTATCTTTGTTATCATTTACTGTTATGTACATAATTAGTTACATTCAGATAAATGCAATTTTCCATAGCAAATATAAATGAATAACAAGTAATTGATTTAATGCACTCGCACATAGGAGAAAGGAGCTTACGACGGCGTTACGATCCGTCGTGGAGCATTTACAAAGTCACACTAACAAAGGAGAGAAGGAGGGAGTATATATACTGTGTAAATGGTCCAGGTCGGACCGACATGTCGTCGCAAGCTTCTCCTCTCTTATGTGTGGGTTATTTGTGTATTGTTCCAGTCACGGTATTGTGTCTTTTTGCTATTTAATTGATTTAAAATATGCCAAATCATTGTAAACACGAAAATTAATATCCAGTTTTTACATAAACAATACCACGCCCTTAACACACTAACATTTTATTGTATATTCAGCATAATGGAGAAGCTGGTGGCAGACAAGTGGGAATCTGAGGAGCATCTTAACCACAAAATAATTGATATGATCAACACGGACAACCTCAGAAATAATCTCATGTAAGTATACAAAGATAACCCGTGTCAGGTTTATGAAGTATTCTGTTCTCACACCCTGCTTGAGGCTGGGCTTTCCTGGGGACTGCTGGATCAGCCTAGTGAGGCTAGGATTTCCTGGGGACTGCTGGATCAGCCTCGTGAGGCTAGGCTTTCCCAGGGACTGCTGGATCAGTCTCGTGAGGCTAGGCTTTCCCAGGGACTGCTGGATCAGTCTCATGAGGCTAGGCTTTCCCGGGGACTGCTAGATCAGCCTCATGAGGCTAGGCTTTCCCAGGGACTGCTAGATCAGTCTCATGAGGCTAGACTTTCCCGGGGACTGCTGGATCAGTCTCATGAGGTTAGACTTTCTTGGGGACTGCTGGATCAGCCAGGCAATTTTTACACTGATGGCATACAATACCGACACGTTGAACAAGACATGTACAACACCACAAGTGCGGTATTCATCTGCCAGACCCAGAATCATCACAGTCTGGCTCCAGGTGCCCTCTCACCTGGAAGGTTGAAAGTAGCATAATGTTGTGGCTGATAAAGGTAAAAGCAGATGGGTTTACATAAAAAAAAACACATGAAATGAGAAACGCTGCAGCAGGTCTATTGACCCATACTAGTCAAGTCCTTCTCAAACCCATTATATTTTCTCAACCATAGGCGGTGGGTTGATGAACATCTCTCTAACACAGGTCAACAATTTTTTTCTATTGTATTTACAATATATCAGAATCTCTTGGTTATTCAGCCCTTTAAGTACAGTCACTGTCTCAAATAACATATAATATTTCTCAGTACCGACTTCCTAATGTCGTAACCGTTTCACTTATTACATAAGTCACAATTACAATGTAAGTCAAACAATTTAAAAAAAATCACATAATGAAACGTTCCATATCATCTGTCAGGAGCGTGGGCAAATTTAGACAAAAAGGAAAATATCCCTACCATTTATGCCGAAAGAGCTGCTTGGCTCATAGGTAAGCTCCCTGCAGTGGCAGTGATATCAGTCTCAGAATAGGCCTACCCTACCCCTGGGCACACAGGTTAATAGGCCTACTGTAGTGTTGTTTCATGTAAAATCAGCATCAAATGATGTTATTTTAAATTTTAAAGGGATAGAGAGGTGAGCCAGCAGAAGGCCTCAGTCGCATCACAAAAGCCTCCAGTCACAGGTCATCATGAATAAGACTGTCAACAAGAGGCATTTCAATGTTTCCTGACGAATCATACCTAACCTAACCTAACCTAACCTAACCTAACCTAACCTAACCTAACCTAACCTAACCTAACCTAACCTAACCTAACCTGTATTAAAACAAGCTTTAGTTAAGAACATTTATACTGTCAAAGACAGTAATATACTAGACAGTAATATACTAGATGCTTCTGGCGTAAAACAATAATGCATTAAGTAGATTTGATCTAGTTAAGGCAGCATTCATGATAAGTGTTTTGCATGATACAGGGAACTGGCCAAGCTTCCACACCTGGCCGGGACAGAGAGAGATCACCAGCTGGCCCATATGATACGTGATCGGTTCCTGGAGGCTGGCTTTGATACCGCTGACCTTGTTCCTTATGATGTCCTCCTTTCCCGACCCAACCGTACCAACCCTAACCTGGTAAGTACCCACCTCCCTCCCTTCCTCAACCACACTACAGCACTCAGTCTTCTTTTGCAGACGATATCAGAATTTGCATGAAAGTGTCATCCATTGGGAATACTTTAAATCTTCAAGAGGATATAAACGAAGTCTTCCAGTGGGCCACAGAAAACAGTACGAAGTTCAGTGAGGAGAAATTTCAGTCACTCCGTCACGAAAAACTTGAGGAAATATAAACTATAATGGAGTATAAAACAAATTCTAACCACTCAATAGATTGAAAAACTAATGTGAAGGACCTGTGAGTGTTAATGTCAAAGGCTTTCAGCTTCAAGGCCATTGATATAAATTACAAACAACAACGGGCCCAAGATTGATCCCTGTGGAACACCACTTGTTACAGATCCCCACTCGGATTTAACCCCATTTAAGCACACTCTCTGCTTTCTGTTCGTGAGCCATGACTCGATCTATGACAGCACTTTTCCCCCAGTGCCATGAGCTTCCACTTTCTTTAACAGTCTCTGGTGTGGTACTCTATCAAAAGCCTTACTAAAATCTAAATAAACAATATCGAATTCTTTATCATGATTAACGGCCTCAAAAGCTTTACTCAAGAAAGTTAATAAATTAGTTAGACAAGAATGACCCCTCGTGAATCCATGCTGAGTATCATTAATCAAATTATGCTTATCCAGATGGCTTCTTATAATATCAGCTATAATTGACTCTAGTAATTTGCCTACAATTAAGGTCAGGCTTATTGGGCGGTAATTCGATGGTAACGACTTGTCCCCTGTTTTAAAAATAGGAATTACACTAGCCATCTTCCACATACCAGACGCTACACCTGTTTGAAGAGAAATATTAAAAATATTAGTCATTGGTTCACAAAGTTCCATTTTACACTCTTTAAGAACCCTTGAAAAAAGTTCATCAGGGCCCGGGGATTTATTTTGCTTCAGTTAGTCTATCTGTTTGATAACCATTTCGCTAGTGACTGTGATACTGCATAATTTATCGTCTTCAGGCCCATTATAAAAATTAGCAGTCTCAGATTTTCGCTTAGCAGATTACAATGGGCTTAGAGAATACTTATCATCTGTTGACTGGGGTAACAAAGAGAGTTATCAACAAAACAGTTTTCCGAACACTATATATGCTGCCCAAAGAACATTTATCCCATATAAAGAAATTAGATCAAATAGAAATGACCCAAAATGGATGAATAATAGGCTCAAATATCTTTTAGGGCAGAAGAAAGGAATTTATAGGCGTATCAAAAGAGGTGAGAGTCATCTTATGAATCAGTATATAGACATTAAGAGGGACGTTAAAAAGGGGATAAGAAAAGCTAAACGGGACTATGAAATTAAAGTTGCTAGGGATTCCAAATCTAACCCAAAAAGTTTTTTCCAGGTGTATAGAACAAAAGTTAGAGATAAGATAGGCCCCCTTAAAAATAACTATGGGCATCTTGGAAATATAAACACATATGCAGTATAATGTGATCCTTTATTGACAACGTTTCGCCCACATAGTGGGCTTTATCAAGTCACAAACAGATTTACCTGAGTGGAAGGTACGTGAGTATTTATAGGATGAAGTCAGGTTGAGAATGCGGCATGTGACAATCTACCGAGTAGGGTTATAGAGTCTAATACCTTGGGTAGCTTGGAAGAGAGATTGAATAAGTACATGCAGTGTTCCTCCATTCTTATGTTCTTATGTGGGATAGCGATGAAGAACTTTCTTGGCGAGTGGTTCAGCTATGTTATAGAAGCCGTTGTTCTGGTTGAAGTTGTTGGATATACAGATAAGCGGTATTGAGTGTTGTCTTCTCTGGCGATAAGTCTTGAGTTTCTGTAGTTGATTAAATGGTTGTGTGAATTTTGGTGTTGAACACAGGCATTCCTTGGATCGTCAGATCTGCCTGCGTATTGGTGTTCTGAAATACGTGTTTGGAGGTCTCTTGACGTTTTGCCCACGTATAATTTGCTGCAGTCATTACAAGGCATTATGCATACCCAAGCAGAGGATGGAAGCTTGTTCTTGATGGTCATGGTTGAGGAGGTAGATACTTGGAATGAGGTATTGGAAAAGATGTTGGAAACGTGTTTGGCAATGGAGTTGGTGGGGAGGACTATGTATCTCTTCTTGGCAGTGTCTTCTCTGGGTGTGTTGAAGATGTTTAATGCCCGTCGTCTGCAGTCTCTGATGAAGTGACGAGGATAGTGAAATTTGGAAAATATTTGTTCACTTATAGTGCATTCTTCCTCAAGGAACTCACTGCTGCAGATTCTGAGTGCGTGCAGGAAAAAGCCAATAATTACACCACGTTTATTCTCCACCTGACCCAGCATTCTCAACCTGACTTCATCCTATAAATACTCACGTATCTTCCACCCAGGAAGGTTGTCAATAAAGGATTACATTATACTGCATATGTGCTTATATTTCCATTGTGTCGGTATTTTATACCATCTATTTCCATATGGGCATCTTACTGACAAAGAGAATGAAATGTGCTCTAATTTTAATAATTATTTTCCCTCGGTTTTCACTCAGGAAGACACTGATAATATCCCAACAATTAGGTTTTTAGTGGGCCTGAAGAAGATAAATTATGTAATATCACAGCTCTAGCGAAATGGTTATCAAACAGATAGGCAGTTTGAAGCAAAATAAATCGTCCGGTACTGATAAGTTTTTTCAAGGGTTCTTAGGAATGCAAAATGGAACTCTGTGGACCTTTAACTAATATTTTTAATTTATTTCTTCTAACACGTGTCGTGTCTGATATGTGGAAGATGGCTAGTGTAATTCCTATTTTTAAAGCAGTAGACGAAGTCGTTACCGTCAAATTACCGCCCAATAAGCCTGACCTCAATTGTGGGGAAATTACTAGAGTCAATTATAACTGATAATATAAGAAGCCATCTCGATAAGCATAATTTGATTAATGAATCTCAGCATGGATTCACGAGGGGCCGTTCCTGCCTAATTTACTTTCTTCAGTAAAGCTTTTGAGGCCGTTGATCATGATAAAGAATTTGATATTGTTTATTTAGATTTTAGTACCACATCAGAGACTTAAAGAAAGTGGCTGCTCATGGCATTGGGGGGAAAAATGCTGTCATGGATCGAGTCATGGTTCACCAAAAGGAAGCCGAGAGTGTTCATAAATGGGGTTAAATCTGAGTGGGGATCTGTAACAAGTGCCGTACCACAGGGATCGGTTTTAGGCCCGTTGTTGTTTATAATACATATAAATGACCTTGACGAGGGAATTACTAGTGATATAAGCAGATTCGCTGATGATACGAAGATAGGTAGGATAATTGATTCAGACGTTGATGTCTCGGAACCTCAGGAGGATTTAGACAAACTCAATTCATGGTCAGAAAAGTGGCAGGTGCAGTTCAATGTAGATAAATGTAAAGTTCTAAAGCTCGGAAATGTTCATAACTCTAGCACCTACCAGCTTAATAATGTTGAACTTAGCCGTATAGAATGCAAAAGGGATTTGTGGGTTATGGTGAGCAGCAACCTTAAACCAAGACAACAATGCCTAAGCGTGCATAATAAGGCAAATAGATTACTGGGATTTATATCAAGAAGTGTAAGCAACAGAAGTCCAGCAGTTATACTACAGCTTTATACATCATTAGTAAGGCCTCACCTAGATTATGCAGCTCAGTTCTGGTCTCCATATTACAGAATGGATATAAATTCGTTAGAAAACATTCAGCGTAGGATGACTAAATTAATTCATTGCATTAGAAATCTTCCTTATGAAGAAAGATTGAAGACACTTAAGTTACATTCACTTGTTAGACGAAGAATGAGGGGAGACCTGATCGAAGTGTATAAGTGGAAGATAGGTATTAATAAAGGGGATATTAATAAGGTCTTGAGGATATCTCTCCAAGAGAGAACCCGCAGTAATGGATTCAAATTAGACAAGTTTAGATTTAGAAAGGAAGGATACAGGAAAGTACTGGTTTGGAAATAGGGTAGTTGATGTGTGGAACGGTCTGCCTAGTAGCATTATTGAGGCTAAAAGTTTGGGTAGTTTCAAATTTAGGCTGGATAAATACATGAGTGAGAGGGGTTGGATTTGAGTGGGACTTGTACATGAGTTAATAGAATTATCAAGATTTATTGCTGGGGAAGAATTGAAAATTGGATTGTGCAAATATTCTATTAGTGGGATGGATTGTGAAGGACCTGTGTAGTATGGACCAACAGGCCTGCTGCAGTGTTCCTCCTTTCATATATTGTCAGTGTCTTCCTGAGTGAAAACCGGGAGAAAATAATTGTTAAAAATAGAGCACATTTCATTCTCCTTGTCAGTAAGATGCCCGAAGTTATTTTTAAGGGGACCTATCTTATCTCTAACATTTGTTCTATACACCTGGAAAAAACTTTTTGGGTTAGTTTTG